GGATAGTGCTAGTGTTAATTCTGGATTGGTATTAAGGAACAAAAGGGACAGTAGCTCCAATTTATTGTGGCCTCAGCGACACAGTGCATTTTGCATGAATGGCAAGCCCGCTCATCCAAAAGACCGAACGATCTGATGCATGAGTACAAAATTGCATGGCCTTATATAAGCTGTAAATTTAACTTTTTATTTTTGTCTTCTTTTTAAATCAAGTTTTGAAATTTTAACTTATTTTTGTATATAAAATGAAAAAAAAAAAAATTGCATATTACAATACCACAAAAAACCACAGCAAACCCACCACCGGTCTATAGTCATTCAGCAATATCTGTATCAGTGCTTTGTATCATTTTTAAGGTGAAAGACTTTATAGCATTTTTTGCGTACCAGTGAAATTTACCATAGCCTCTTATATACCACAAATGTGTTGTGATATATAGTCTAATATTACTTTATTTATCTAATAAAAGCCAAAGCACATTCAATTCACTCATGTAAACTCAGTGCAGGTTTCTATGGACACTTGGTCATTTCTATGTACGTTTATGGTATTCCAATGAACACTAAAATGAGAGTTCCATACATGTGATATTGTCAGGAGCAGTAGGTGTGTTCTGTACATAATGGGTGGGGTCAGCTCTTAAATGTTTCTTTCATTATTTATTTATTTTATATTTATTTGTATTACCATATTCCTGCTTAGAGTTTTTTAGACCTGTGTAGTATGGCTTTTAAATACATCAGAAATTGAATGTAATTCTGGCACAGACTTTGTTAACTTTGTGTAGAATTACTGGGTGTCAATATTTGTGAACTGTGGTTGTATTTATTTACTGCTTAACCTTAATCCTAACTTATTCAGTACCAACACTTTGATCTGTATTGTTTAGAATTACAGCAACCAAACTGTACTTTTCCCTCGTAGCTTGTAGCGTAATATATTACCAACTTGTAGAATACAACTTTAGACTTGCATGTTCTGTACTGCTATGCATTTACTTAGCTTACAAGTTAGACAAAGCTGTTTTGTATTTTTTATACTTCATGTAATTTTTTACTTGTCCCTTAATAAAAGTAATTTTGTGAGTTTTTCTCGATATTGAAGTCATCTTGTTTTTTTTGTTTTTTTTATTTATTTTTATCATAAGACAATGAATCAAGCTATAGCTGTAATCTACCTAAGTGTTGAGTAAAATTACTTCTTGCAGTATTTTGCTTATTTGGCAACATAGGTTGTTTAAGTATGTGTACAGTCAATGGATGGCATTTATTTTAAAAGGCCTAACTGTTACTTGATGAAAAAAACAGTCTACACTGTGTTAGAATATAGCCTATCGTTAAAATGTATTTAGATAAGTCAAAACATAGACATAGTGTAAGTCTATTGCCTGTATGCTGTGTCGAGTAAGCCCGTTCCTTTAAAATGCGGCATCTGTCTGCTATATAAATAAATAAACCAGCATCTTATATAACACAAGGTGCAAGTGCACAGTGTGAGCGCTAGAGGGCAGCATACACCAGATCAGGTAAAAGAAGAAGAAGCACTCAGCTGTCTCATGACCGGAAGTTATTGCAGACCCCTCAATGCTAATGCTAATACCAACTAATGGTGTTCCTTTTTATACACCACTTAAATCTAACAGACATTTTATTTGAGACATTTTAGATACAGTCACGTTACAGGAGTACAAGGTGGGACGACTATCTTTGTATGTCTTCAATCTTTTTTCATTATTTTTTTGCTTTGCTTTTTTTCGTTAAAATCGTCTGTAAGTATACACTAAACCTTGTGCACCAGATGAGCAGCTTAAGTCTCTTTATTCTGCAGGATTCACCTGTCATCATGGGGGAGCCCACAGCCTCTGGCGTCTTCTGTAACAGGATGCTGAGCATGGTGAACTCTGAGGATGTGAATGCTATCATCCAGGCTCAGAGACACATGTGAGCGGCCCTGCTCTCTGTCTGAACCCTGATTCTACGGTAGTTTACCTGTTTAATAATTGTAATGCATATTTGTTTAGGCTGGACCGCTTTGAGAAAACCAATGAAATGCTGATTAACTTCAATGGACTGTCAAATGTGAGACTGCAGCAGATGAACGAGCGCTTTCTGCTCCACACCAGGACCCTGGTGGACATGAAGAAAGACTTGGACAGTGTCTTTAGAAGAATCAGGTGAGGTTTACAGACTGCCACAAACCATGTGTGAATACAGATAACTGTTTACATGAATCCTCTACACAGGACTCTGAAGGGAAAGATCGCAAAGCAGTACCCTGAGGCTTTCAGCAGTGAGTTCATCTTATGCTTTTTCATACATCAATGTGTCTAATCTTATTTCATGTTTGTTCATTTCTCTAAAACTTTTCTGTCAATCTGACAGACATCCACGAGTCACCTATTTTGGAGGACGATGATGACGAATTTGACCCTGTACCCCCCAGCGTTGCCACGACAACCGCCACAGCCACACCTGAACAAAGCACAGAGTCATGTGACACGAGTCCGGATGTCATCTCACCCACAGTGAGCAGGTGCTCCGAGGACCTGTCCCAAGAACCCCCTGACACGCCCACTTCTGATGGCCAAGAGATCGCTGTGTTGAGGGACGAGGGGCCAGACTCTGTACCTACTGAGTAGAGTAGACTTTTAGTTAAATTATTAGGCAGGTGTGGGTGTTATGATGACATAAAATTTAATTATGGCATGTCCCTGTGATATTCTGCCTCTACCATGCTCTGAGTGAGAGACCACAATATACGTGGAAATTCTCAGAGGAAGACTGTTCTAATCATCGTGAGCAGTTTGATGTATGTTTACATGATTATTTGTTTAAAATGCAGATCATGTGGCGTTTTAACACAAATTTGCTGTCTATTTATTCTGTTAATGCACCCTTGTTCTGGGGTGTGTTTGAGTTTATATCTATGTAAAACTGTCCTTAAAAGCCTTTTATACAGATATGTTTGTATGCTTGTGTTTCTGTGTCTCACATTTAGTGTTTGTATGGTGCGCAATCTTGACTTCTCTGTTTATATCTACAGACCTTACAAAGGAAACAATAACCAGCCAACAGATATAGATATATGATGCAGGATCTGTAATACATCATACATGTAGTACAGTATGCTAGTAAAAGCACTATGTGATGACCTGTTGTAGACCATGAAGTTCCTTGTTCCATAACTGGACAACTAATAGGAGGGTTACAACAACATGAGTTGTTTAAAGGTGCACCATATTGCTATTTTGCTGGAGGATTTGCCACCTACTTGTTATTACTTTGCCGGGAATGTTCCACACTTTCACATTATGGCAATAAACTAGCCTATTTAATTTTATTCAATTTGAGGTGTTTTTATTGCTCAAAATACCTTGCAGAGAAAAAAAGCTGTTGTCACTTGCATGTCTCAACTTATTTATGTAATAGTACTGAAATACTTGTTCAAATGTTCTTTAAAAGGTTAAATATTGTATTGATTTTGAGAACTACTAAAGTGTCCAATCTGATAATGCTGATAAAGAATTGTGCTGATATTTGATCAACAAAAACTACTGTATTGATAACCCAACTCAGTTTAGTAATTTTATAAAATTGTATACCAAAATGAACCCCTCAGCCATTTTAGGCTAAAAATCTTTTCAGTCTAATAAAAAGAAAATATCTTCTCCAAAAACTACTTAAGTAAAGTACATATACCTATTACAGTATTTGTTTTAAACATGTGTACTGTGCAAACTTATCCTAAAACAAGTAATAACACTACTGAAACAATATATAGAAAAAAAAAATATAATAACATTATTACAATAGCATGTTCCTCACCACCAGAGGGCGCTAAGTCAGAACGTGCTCCCTCCAGCCGCGGGGTCAAACGGTGCTGTTGCCGGACATGGACACGTCGCTTTGTTTGGCTCATTCATGAGACATTTATCCGGCGATCACCATATTTTAAGGGTTTTTAATGTTTGATCACAACAGAAGAAGTATAATTTTACATATCGTGTCTTCATTCGCTTATTGCTACTTCCGCTCACATGAACTAGGCGAGACTGCAAAGATTCAGCCATATGTGACACTTACCCAGCACTAAATTGTAAATACAGGACAATAAGGACGAATGCTGAGCTCATGAGGGACACGTAAAATGAGGAGACTGACTAAAAAGAAAGCGCTGAACTTAGTGAAGGAGTTGGATGCTTTTCCTAAGATCCCCGACAGCTATGTGGAGTCGACAGCCAGTGGTGGGACAGGTATATTCTACTGTGGCTATATTCACATGCACACCGAAATCTGTTTATTTTCTGATTTCTGAACCTTTAATATTATGTAAATGGAAAGTAAACCTCAAAATCAGCTGTAAGCAATCAAAGGAATCATGCAGAGACTTAAACGAGTGCACTGTTTAAGTCCCTTATGATCAAAAAATTGATCATAATCAGTTTCATGTCAAAATAATGCAAGGGTTTGCTCAAAGTTAAAGGTGCATCATATTTCCGTTGGAGGGTCAATTAACTGCTTCTCTTTATGTTCCACAATCTGATCTGTCTTGCCTTGTTTCATTTAATTGAAACAAACAAACAAACAAAAAACATCTGTTCTTCCTGTGGGGCTGCCTCTTCACAGCTCTGACCTGGGAAGAGGCACCTGGTGGTGTCATTTGCTTGTTTCCATGGAAATAGATTAGTTAAATGCCATGCTGGGGAGCATTCCAGAGCATTCCATAACATCCATGGAGATGTTATTGCTCAGAAAACCACCAGAAAAGTTACAAAGTGTAAATTTAAAACATCACCTCGCATCATGATTGAAAAACAATTGAAATCAATAAAAGCATGTGTGAATTTGATCCTGCAACAATTAAACAATGTCTCTTTTTCTTTTCTAGTGTCTTTAATAGCATTCACTTTCATGGCAATCCTGGCCTTTCTGGAGTTCTTTGTGTACAGAGATACGTGGATGAAGTATGAGTATGAGGTGGACAAAGATTTTACTAGGTAATGATCATATCATGTTCTTTTAATTGTATAATAATGTGGGTTGTTTTAATGAAAATGTCTTTTTTAACAGTAAATTAAGGATCAACGTTGATATTACCGTTGCCATGAAGTGCCAATGTAAGTTATTCGTATTTAACTTATTTATGAATGAGGACAAGAAGAAATCTGCACTAGACATTGTTAAAAAAAAAAAAGCTTTATTTTTCCTTCTGTACTGAGTGAATGTTTGTCTTTTTAAATCCAGACATAGGTGCTGATGTCCTGGATCTGGCAGAAACCATGGTTGCCTCAGACGGTTTAGAATATGAGCCAGTAAGAACAACTTTTTCTTAAAACTTTTATAAATTTGTATTTCTTTATCAACCTTATGTTCATGATTATGTTGTTGTCTTATGTTCAGGTAAATTTTGAGCTCTCACCTCAGCAAAGAATATGGCAATTGTAAGTACTCGGAGTCTAATATTTACTTTTAACAGGATACCATAGTTAGAGAGTCCCTTCTCATGGTTTTGTTCCTCTGTGTAGTCAGAAAAGAAAACAAGACATAAGGCAGGGAATGGACTACAGCATTTTGACTGTTAATTATTATTTATTTTTTTCTCAGAACTCTTTGGCACATCCAGGAGCGCCTCAGAGTAGAGCATTCTCTTCAAGATGTCCTCTTCAAATCTGCAATAAAAATAGCCCCACCATCACCAATCAAAAAGTATTAACAAGTTCCTTATGTAAATGATTGTGGTTTAAAAATATTTGTTATGTCTCATTTACTTTTCCTACACAGTGATGACAGTTCTGCTCCCCTGAATGCATGCAGGATTCACGGGCACCTGTATGTTAACAAAGTGGCAGGGAACTTCCATATTACTGTTGGAAAGTATGTAGCATAATAATGACAAATTGTTTTAACTTATCTTATCTTATCTTGTTTTTACTTATCTCTAGAAGCTGAAAATGTCTGTCTCATTTTACAGGTCCATCCCACATCCTAGAGGCCACGCCCATCTAGCAGCTTTAGTTAGTCATGACTGTAAGTAGCATCTACCCACAATTATAAGATCGCAAAGACTACATTAATTTAGATAATAATAGTAGTAATAATAAGCATCTGCAAAGATCAATTATCCTGTCGTTTTGTTGGAAAATCATCTTGTACTTAATTTAGACCTCTACAAACATGTTTTGAAATACATGGCATTCTTGTATTATTTAAGTACACTCAAATGTTAATCCTTCTGTTATTTACAATGGGCTCTGAACAAAATCTTACTGATACTTGCCAGAAAATTCACAATTAGATATTTTCCCAAAACCGTGCAGCCACTAACATTTTCTTTAAATGTGAAGCAGTAATTACAGTAAAATAGTAGATAGATAGTAATAGATTTAGTGATTAGGCGTACATCATTTGTGAAAACCCTTGACTACGGTAGTCCATTGTGGTCACCCACTCAATAATGGGTTGTAAAGAACAAATGATTCCAATTCAATTAAAAATTGCTTGAAGAAATTGCTTGAAAATGTGGATGTACAATTACTGATAGCATAATCTATTTTCTTTCTTTCTTCCTTTCCATTCCAGCGTTTAATTTCTCCCATCGGATCAATCACTTGTCTTTTGGAGAGATGATTCCAGGGATTATTAGTACTCTTGATGGCACTGAGAAAGTCTCCACCGAATGTAAGTATTTTATAGTTGAATCTTGTTACATATGCTGTTTTAATATTTCAATCTCTCCCCAGCTAATCACATGTTTCAGTATTTCATCACCATCGTGCCTACAAAACTCAACACCTATAAGGTTGCAGCAGACACACATCAGTACTCCGTCACAGAGCGGGTGAGTTAGCCCTTAGGAACAGAGAAATATATTTGTGTTATACCGAACCCCACAACATTGTAGAATGCCTATAGTTTAAAATAGGTTACATTCACATGACATCACAACATCCTAAGATCCCTGTAGGCAGTGTAAAAGTGAGCTGGAAGACAAAATTCTTTGGTAGAATTTGCTGTTTAGCCATCAGATTGCAGATTTGTTGATCTTGTCAACTGCTGTGGCACGAAGTTCAATGTCTTTGTTGTCCACAAAAATAAACAATGGGGAAATACTTTTTTCACTGTAGCTTTCAACCTGGAAGGGAACATGGGTTTCAAAATTATGAAAAATGAACACAGTTGCCACAGCAAATAGCAATTCAAAACAATTCAAAACGAAATGGTGAAAAGTGCCCAAACTGACAAGTATAAAAACAAAGCTGAAACCCATGAATTTCATTTCCAAAATAGCCCCAAAATTTTCCCAAACGTTAGTGGGTCTTGGCTACATAAAGTGTCTAAAACTAACACTAGCATTAACTTAAAGATGCATTGTGTAACTTTTCTGGTGGTGGGTCTGTGAAAATGCTTTCCTTCATGGAGATGTTGTTCCTTTATCTGGAATTTTTCAGAGTATGTCATTAAACGTTTCTGTCTTCATGGAGACCAGTCCAAGTGACAGGTCAGATCTGCGAGAGGCAACCTCACTCACAGTGGGGTCTACAAAAGCTACAAAACCACCTGTAATTTAATAAATGTAAGGTAGAGCTGTTTAATGTCATACTGTAGAACATTCTAGGCAGAACAATGTCACATCTGTAGAAACAAGCAGGTAACAGACCCCCATCCAAAAAGTTACATAGTGCATCTTAAACTTAAACTTACTGTAAGTATTTCCAGAGATGCTAATTTTAGTGAAGGTCACATTATGTACGGTGACTCTTGTACTTACTGTTTGCTTGACTGGTACATAGGAGCGGGTGATAAACCATGCAGCGGGCAGTCATGGCGTCTCTGGGATTTTTATGAAGTATGACATCAGCTCTCTGATGATCCGGGTCACAGAGCAACACATGCCCCTGTGGCAGTTCCTCGTGCGTCTCTGCGGCATCGTAGGGGGCATCTTCTCCACTACAGGTGCACGTAGAGTCCTTAAATGTATCCAGATTATGTTTTTATACTGTGAATAGTTTATGGTGTTGTAGAAATGCTATCTACAACAATATAACATAATACGTTGTATTTCAAAATATCTAAAGTGTTTAGTAACGGTAACTGCGGTTTATTACTGGCACCCTTAAAGGGGGTCAGTAGAGTAAGTTTAATGATGCTGTCTGTATGTGCTCCAGAAAAGAAATTTCAAGTTGATTTTGTTAAAGTAATTTCCAGTCGTAGCGAAAACATAATTCATTTAAATAAATATACTGTACATGCATGTACTGTAAACAAGTATATTCACTTGGGACAGTAGCCTATAGACCACAAGAGAAAATATTACATTAAACTTGTAAATGCAGGATAATTATGTTGCCATCAAAACAAGCAGCTAACAGATTTAAAAAAAAGTGTTTTTATTCAGTTAGTTTGTGATTCTCTCCCACAGTTATCAAATTGATGGGTCATTCATGTCAATTTTTTCACATGTCAAGTAGTATTTACTGTATTTCCCATTGCATGTGAAGGCATTATAGTCAGCTTCAGATTCAGCCTATTTTCCAAACTGATCAATTAATATATTATTATGACCTGAACTTTTCCCCAAAATGGTGATGATTTCTCATGTCATTGCAGACGAGAATATAATATTCACACAATATTTCAGGGTAATCTAACTTTATCCTCTGTTGCTTTCAGGCATGCTGCACGGTATGGTGGGCTTTTTGGTCGACATTATTTGCTGCCGTTTCAAAATGGGAATTTACCGAAATCTCAAAGTAAGTAAATGACTAGTTGCATTGACTCACCACTATGAAATTAGTTCAAACACATTTTTCCCTCAGAATTACACAAGTTCTAATTAGTTTGTTTTTGCATTCTATATGATATGGTTTTGTTTTTTTCACACAGGACACTCTGGCTGTGCAGGATAACAGTGACACATCACCACTAATAGAAAATCACAATGAACATTAAAGTAATCTCCAGCCCTCTCCCATCTGCTATTCTGTTATCATGGCCTCAACCTCCAAAGACCCTGAAACTCTTTAAAATGGACATTTTCAAATTCTGATTATTTATTCCCTCAGCACATTGTTTTGACTAGCAATGTTACCAGTACCACTATTGGACCTCCAATATTCTAGCTATTGATGATGGTTCTACCACCTGAGCCACTGTTTTGGTTGCTGATAAAAACAATATGTAGGTTGCGTTCACGTGACATCGCAACTGTCTAGAATACCTTGTTTAAAACTGAGCTGCAGGACATGGTAGATTTTGCAGATTTGTTGGTGTAGTTTATGGTTAATATCTCTGTAATTAGTGAACCTATCCACAAAGTTCTACATTTTCTCTGTTCAGTATAAATAAACAAACATGAAATTATATTTTCACAGGGGCTTCAGAAAATACTGAAAGGACTTTAAGCCTTCAAATTATTAAGCCTTACGATTAATATGGCAAGTGTGTGGAGTCAATTCCTAACCCATAATGCAAAACATTTTTGGACCATAATTTTGCATATTTTTTCAAAAACGGTAAATCTACCATAGAGTTGTATTCATGGGTTTCATGCTATGGCAACCGTCCTGTATGGTTATAGCAATTAAGCAGTTCAAATCAAAATACTATATGGGGAAAGGTCCTCACATAGTCCTTCAAATCAGGAGGGAATTGTTTCTCTGAAACCCATGAATGGGCTCCTGCCCTCATAATCTGTCACAATATGAAATTATGCCATCATCAAATTGCAGAACATGTACACAACCTGTTGAATGTGTGATTTCATATTGAATAAAAGTTTTATACTATATGTTTGCTTGTGTTCTAATCTAATCCGGGTGAATGTAAAGCAGACTATTACAAGGAGTATTTTACACCATGTCAAGAGTTTATTGACAGTATTTCAGAATATCTTTCAGTAAACAAGTTTTTTGTTTTTTAGCAAAATGTAATATATCAGTACTGTCGCATTTCATAAAAATAGTTGTTCACGTCTTTGAAACTACAGTATCAATGATACAGTAAACCATATTTGTAGGAATACAGCTGTACAAGGTGGATAGTACACAATTAGCACTACACAGTTATACTTGATCTCAATGGGGGGTTATGAACGCTCCATTCTTCACAAATAAAGCCGTTTTTTTCTTTTCTGTTTACAAAATCACTCACAGCAGGCAAAGGGGGCGGCCTGGACAGAGACAGATGACACAAGAGTTTTACCTTTTCTCCACATGGTACCATAAAACACATGTCTACAGCCTTTGCGCCGCACTGCACTATTGGGGTCTATGAATTCTGATACGATACAAGTTTTGCTCCACAAGCTCCCATTGTGTAAAGTTTGGCTACAGAATTGTCACAGCAATTGTTTTTGTTTTTACGTCTCAACTTGAATACTTGAAAGCTCTATTTTTCTATTTGAATAAAGCAAATATGTGAGAATATTGATGGAGACAGAAAACTCGGATTGCTCAGTTTAGCAGCATACTTCAACTGTTCAGCAGATAAGATATATTTTCAGATGATTTATGGTTGGTCTGAAATCATATTTGCAGGAGATGGAGCCGTCTGTAGCAGTGTGAGTGGAATGCACTTGCAGGAAAGACAGAATGTGGTTTGATAACTGCTTCACTGACTCCTTCAGAGAGAGTGGACTTATACAAGCTACATTGGATCCTCTTTGACACGTGGGAACAGGGCAGTCTTTGACACGAGTGCATACTGTCTAAGATACTGTATATGTGTATCACTTGGTTTTAGCCTAAGCAGGGAGCTCCAAAGTTGGCTGATATGACAAAAAAAATCAAATCAAATCAAATAATCAATTTTTTCCCCCTTGTATCATGATTTTAGATTTGATTTTGTCTTGTTAAGAACAAATAAACAAATAAATACATTTCAATATTAATGTTCTGAATATAAACAATATAGACTTTAAAGGTTCACTATGTAATTTTCCTGATGGAGATGTTGTTGTTCTGTAAATGTTCCATGGCATGGCATTCAAATGATCTCTGTATATGAAGTTGTTGACATTAGAGACATTAGAGTTGTAGACATTAGATCTGCGCAGAGACTAGCCTGGTCACAGCAAGAATCAATATGTTTCATGGTATTTCTGCGCAATAAAAACACTTTTAATTTAATAAATATAGAATTGATACATTGAATGCGACACTCTGCAACATTACAGGCAATACATCTCATCATCGTAGCCAACCCCTAACCAGAAAATTTCACACTGCACCTTTAATCATTGCAATTTAATATTTATTTTTGCTCTGTTGTAAACTTCTCCATTAAAAACACCAAAGTACACTGTTGAAAATTATAAATCTCAATCTTGATTAAAATTTGACTTTTTGCACAGCCCTAGCGTACTGTCACTTGAACTTGCCTTCATTACCAAAAACAAACCAAAACTGAACTGCATTAGTTTGAGTAAGGCACTCCGGCCCACCCCAGCCAGCGCGGTCCTCGTTTTTGTCCCCACTCCCACGCCCCTCTCCCACAGTGGTCTGGTACACTTAGCACAGTAAAAGGCGCATATGCAGAAATGGGAACACAGAGCAGACCAAAGTTTGTCGAGCAAAAATGAATACAGCACAGTTCTGCACGATGACTGCGAGGTGAAATGTAACTCAGAGGACATCATGGCTGTTACTAAGCGCTCTGACAGTCCCATTGACAGAACTAAAGTGAGTGGAACATGAAAATACTCCACAGAGGCGTCCTGTCTAAAGGCTAGGGCTAAAGACGTGGGCCCTTGTCTAACATAGTGCTGTATACTCATGCACTGGGTTTGGTGACTCGCACAGTTTTGATATGTAGTTATAGACCAGGCCATGACAGTAATAGACCTAAAATACTGTCCCGGTAAGTTTGCTCCTCTTTTTATCTACAACAACGCCTCCATATTATCAAATGTACATATTTTCACAACTTTACATTTACAGTATATGTTTTATTGGTAGGCATGACACTGCTAGCATACGCCTATGACTCACATTGGTCACATTTCTGGATGTATCGCTGGTTCTTTCTCAAATGACTTGTTCAGTGTCTTTGCCGCACAGAGGAAATGCCTTCAGACAAATCTGTCTCTTGAGTTTGATAAATGTGATCCTCGTGAGGATGCCCCATTAAAGGTACAAGTGTACATGTGTCCATTTCAAATGCTCTGCTGAACATAAACTCTGCTTCTATAGTCTGCATTTGGTTGTATACTCTAGGTTACAATAGCTGTGAAAGTTCTGCTTAAGGTTGTGGGTGTAATAATCCTCTTGTAAAAAGACTGCGATGAGGGGAAGATGGAGAGAAACAGGAGAGAGGAGAAGCTTCTCTGAAACATCCCATAGTGAGCAGGGAGCACACAGTGTCCAGTCCAAGCCAGTTGGATCCTTTCTACCTGCTGACAGTGGACGTCCAGGAGCGCAGTGTCCCAGGCAGTTTGTCAGGGACACCCCAGGGCCTAGGGGAGGCAGCAGTGCTCCGAGCAGGAGGCTCTTCCACAGCTTTGGGGGGACAGCATGACCCACTGTATGCCCCAGAACGCTCCTCTTCTCTGGGACAGGCTCTGGACAGTAGCCTCTCCTGGAGGCTCCCATCTGCACTGCCCACAGATACACCATTTACACTCACGTAGGAGTCCCAGGGCCAAACGGTGCTCCCGGACTGAGCAGGCAGAGCCTTCCTCTCACAGCAGGGGGAACAAGTGTCCCTTTGCCTTCTGTCACTGGAGCCCAGGATGGCTTTAGCAGGCAGCAGTCGAGGCCCCTCTGCCTCTCCACACTGGCCCCTGATCACACTCTTCTGCTGGGTGGACCTGCCACCTGAGGGCCCCCTGCTGGAGCTGTGCTCTGTAGGCTGTGGAGCTTTGTCTGCCATGTACACTGTGGCCTCTAGAGGGAGCTGAGAAGGGGATTCTGGGGCTGTATGGGATGAGAGCAAGGGGGTGGGGTGCAGATCCAGGGTCACTTCCTGCAGGGCAGAGTGGGCTGTAGAAAGGGGAGTCCAGGGGCCGCCACAGTCTGTGGGACAGAGGAACCGTGTGAGGAACAGAGACACGCTACAGTGAGACATGCACATGCTCCTGAACTGTCAAACTAGAGCATTCAAACATCATAGCCACCATCTACAGAGCACATACAAGTACATGTGTACACATACAGTATGTGCATGTACTAACATACTAGCAGTTACATGTTTACACGTGTGTCACATGTTCAGAGTTTCTTTGGACTGTCACTGCACTGGTGCAGACATGCAGTGTTTCGTCTCAACACTAAAATTTCTGATATGACCCTTCACAAACACTTAAACCACAAGTGCTCTTGCGCATGCACAACACTCTCATGCAGACAGCACACGTAAGAGATGAATCCAGAAGTAAAGACGTGCTGTATCCACGAACCGTGTCTTTAGAGTGGCCCATTAGGAAGAAATATGGGGAGCTTAGTGTGTCACCTTTCATGCACATGGAGAGGTTGGAAGGTACCAATCCTGAGGGAAGTAATACAAGTAAAGGCCTACAGCGTCATTAGAAACAACAGAGCAGGGCTATTACACATGGACAAGAGAGATTAGCAGTATTATTGCACAGAAATAGTTGTAAGTATTAGTAGTAGTACTAGTAGTATTAGTAGTAAGTAGCGACATACTAAGTACAAATCTATTGTGGTCACTGTAAACTGAAATGATATAAGCGTTAATAAAGTATGAATATTTCCATCATTAGTCAGTCCAAACCCACCATAATCTGGCACCTGGCCTGTGCCCCTCTTCAGCAGCAGCCGCACCCTTCGGCCCCCCGCCTTGATCAGTTCGATGGCTCGGGCATGGGTCATGTCCCGTGTACTGTCTCCATTTATCTCAATGATCTGATCTCCAACCTGCAAAACATACACTCATTAAACTACCTTATTTCTCCTACCTCCTGCTCCAAGACAAATGTCCTGCTCCACATGTTATCCAGGGAATTAGATGTTGTGCTCAAGAACACTTGTTAGGATGAGTCCAAAGTTACGAGGGGATAGACAAGATCAATATGTATCAAAAAATGGCAGGGAAAAATAACATAAAAAAATAACACTGGTAAACTGTGTGTATTTCTGTAGAATCAAAGAGCAAAGCACTAAACTCTGCAAATCTCAGGTAAAATTAAGTTAAATATTTTGTTTTGTAAATTTCTTCCTCAATTCAGCCGCATGCACTATAAATAAGAGGTTGTGATTGGTGCTTAGAACAGAACATTAGACAGAAAATATAGTCTGACATCTGTAGGAACGAAAGACCACAATTCAAAGAAAAGAAAAAAACACACTCATCAATCTGCAAAAGCTTTAAAACATGCCGGGCTGCATCAGCCCTGCATGCTGCTTGTAAAGCTTTTTCCATGGCCCACGATCTATATTTCCACAAGTATTTCACTTTAGTTTCATTTTTAAAATTAAAAATTGGCCAGATTTAACCCTCCCAAACACTTTGGACTTTTTCATTTGGTCAGTTTATTATCTAAAATGGATATATTTTCACCTACAGCTTGCCAACCTTTTGGTTTTGAATACCCCCTAGCTTTTTCTTACACTCTGAGGCCCCCCAATTTGGGTAATAGGCAAATAAATCCTTTTAGTGTAGTAGGATGTAAGATTTTCTACAAAGAAAAATTTCTATTCCAATTCTCAAATCTGAGAATCGTTGTGTGTGCCCCCCCCCGAACTCCCTTACCCTCATCCTGCCATTGCGTATAGCAGGGCCGTCTTCTGCCAGGCGTAACACAAACAGGTCCATCTTGTATTCTCTGCCCCCTCGAATACTGAAGCCAAAGCCTTTGGAGCTTTTCTCCAGCTCCACTGTGAAGTAATCATAGTCCTGGAAGCACATAGTACAGTGTTTTGTCCAATCTCAAAGTCTAAGAATAATTATCTGTCTGCTTTTAAATCAAGACATTTTAAGTTCAAGTCTCTACAGTGCATATGACCAGTTTTCATGTTTTTCTAATGATTATGTCCTGTGGGATAGCACTTGAAGTAAATATTTATCATAGTTTACATCAGTTAAGTGGCAGTTTGTGTAGAAAAGTTGAAAAAAATAAATTATTTAATTTTTTTCAATTTAAAATAATAGGAAGTAATGCCACGTGAGTTCTAATACTATCCAAAATACAGTAAGGGACACATTTTAGTCATCATCAGATAATAACTATTGCTTGAATTAGACAAGCTATGGTCCTTGTTTTCATTATGGTTGTTGAGTAACAATTATGGAATTACTTCTACATTATGTCATATATGCTGTTCATGTCCAGCCAGGAAATAAAATTAGGAAAACTAGGGCAAACTTAAAAGTAATCATGTTCACTACTTTATGATACATGATTGGTGTAGTCCGGATGTATGCACTTTAACTTGATCATTTGTATGTAGCAGCACAGTAAAGCACAGTCTTAGTACCTGTCTGAAGTCGGCGGGGATCCCCAGGGGGAACTGTGCCGCTGCGGGGTGCCCTCTGAAGTCCAGCAGGCCTGGGGGGTGCCTGTAGTCCAGGGTGGGGGGCTGGCGGTAATCGGTGACCGGGGGGTGGCGGTAGTCCACTGGGGGCTGCCTGTAATCAGTGAAGGGCGCATGGCGGAAGTCAGGTTTCACATCCTGCCTGGCCTTAACCTCTGACCTGGGAGTGAAGAATACAGTATTATAGAGGGCACTGCTCACTACATGTTTGTTTTGGAAATGCTAAAGAAAGAGAAACTCAATAGAATGAGACTTAGAAGCTCATAAAATACACTGTGTACAAACTCAGTTATAGTTAGGGTTTAAGTATTCATCTTACATTTAATTACAAGTTGTTATAAATCAATGGGTTACATGTTGTTGCTACAGCCTATAATAATGAATCAAGCCCTGTATAAAAGTATTACATTGAACTAGCAAAAGTAAATGCATAAGTTGATACTAAAGCACAACCAAACTGTGACTTCTATTGGCTGGTGTTGCATTTTTATTTATTTAAAAGTTTATTTATTTAGCATAAATAGTTATAATTTTAGTTTAGTGATCGATATAAAAAAGTACAAATATGTTGAACCTATGGGGCTCTGTGCTAAATTTGAAAAGTAAAAATGTTGTCACTAAAAACACCCTCCTTTCAGACTGTGTGCATGCTTTTTTCTGGTGTGTTTACAGCACGGTCCTATCCACACACACACACCTCTCCAGTCACTCCAGTGCTTTATACAGGAGGCTAAATTATTCACTGAGACTGACAGAGCTAAGTGGTGTTATGCAACAGTGTGCAGTTACTGTCTGAGACGGAGAGACTGTCTTCTGTACAGGGAAAATGATCCAAACTAGGGTATACTGGGAAAATATCTGTCCACATAGTATGCTATTGATAATTTTAGTAACAGCTCTATCTATGAAAAAGACTACAGCTATTCCCATTTTAGACGAATGAGAACTCTGCCGGCTGCCCAGAATTTTTGGCATTGTGTAAAGTAAGTAAAATAAATACATACCAGTGTTAATTTTGTCACAGAATATATTTTGACAAAATGAATATTCTTTGTGACAAAAAAGTAAAAAAAAAAAGTAATGGTTAAATTCTGCTGATATTATCAAAATACAAAATTACAAATCTAAGCATACATAGAATAATTGTATTTTATTTTTCTAACCATTGCCATATACAAAGATTACACATGTGGTAGAAGTCTAAGAAGCAGTGAATCATGTGAATGAACTGTATTATGGAGTAAGTTAACTCAAATCCAACAAAATCAGCATGGTATATGTCAATAATAATTAAAATATTATTTGACCAACACTAAATTAAAATTGGTTGTCAAAATTAGCACTGGTAAATATTTCATCAACTTGCCTGATCAAGCATAACTAACTGCATTAAGTGCATTATGTAACGCTTCTGGGGAAGGGTCATGTCACCTGATGTTATGGCATTACACTTATCTACCATTCATTTATTCTATTAAAGCTATTTTTATCTCTCCATAGATCTGACTTATAACTAGGCCTGATAGCATCAATTAATTTATAGTTAGATTTGTTTAATGCCATACTGTTGAACATTATGGGCAATGCAATAACACCCCTGCACCAGAAAAGTTACATAATTTTAAGAAATCAGTTGAACCAAACAACAAATCCCATCTAACTCTGTCCCCTCATTCCTTGTATTGTGGCTGTCCTGAGCCTTACCTGCCGTCGTGGAGGTAGAGCTGGGCAGAGGGCTGTGTGACTGGGCTCTGCTGGGTCCCGGCTGGCACAGGTTGGCTCCCCGAGGCAGTGGGGATAGACACAGGGACGCTCTGAACCACCTGTCCCGGCTGAGGGGGCATCTGTCCTGGTACGGGCAGCGGCTGACCAGGCTGCAGCGAGGCTTGGCTCATTTGGGCTACACTAGTAGGCTGGGTCTGTGGGCTGTGTTTCTGGGTCATAGGGCTCTGCTTCTCTGAACTGGGGCCAGACTGCGAACCTGAAGGTGAAAAGGCATAATAAAGGTGTTGGTAGTTGGTGAATTTGAGGAAAATGTGATATTAAAATGATGTAGGTATGTAACAAAGCAACTAAGAAATTGCCAAATAAATAATAAGGAACCATTCACCCATTCACATAGACACAGACACGCACAGGCACAGACATTATATTACGTTTCCTAACCTTTGTGAGGACAATACATTGGGTTATATTCACTTCTGATCCTAATGAACCCTAATTACCTCTTGTTCAACCTTAATCTAAACCCTAACCTAAACCCATATATTTGAAACATGCAAGTATTAAGTGACTGTGCCTCCATACACAATTATAAACGGACACTGGAGGCACGGTGGGTTAACTGTTGTACCCAAGGGTGCAGTATTCACTGGTGGGATTAAACCTGTATCAGTAACAAAGGTACCAAATACAATATTTCATGTATCCTTTCATTTAATTCCAGGCTGATCCACAAACTGACACATTAAAATTATGATTTATTCGACAAATATATGACTCAACATAAACCATAATATATAGACAGCATTATGTATAGATAAAAGTAACTTGAAACTGACCGGTGCTCTTACCCTCCTCGGGAATGATGTGTAGGGTAACAGTGAGGCCTGCATCCTTGATGAGTTTGACAATGTCTGCATGGGGCATGCTGATTATGGACTGTCCATTCACAGCCAGGATCCGGTCTCCCACCTTCAGCTTCCCACAGCGGTCCGCAGGGCTGCCCTCAATGATGCGGCCGATTTTGTGAGGCACGGCTACAACAGGACAGAAAAAGTCACACTTTTGTCTAGTGTTCTCTATGTGTGTGTCAGGATGGTCTGACAGAGGACATACTGATACATACAGATAATAATACATTGTAAATTAAAAATTTGCTGGATTCTGTGATGAATAGAGCGTAGTATGTGGGGGCAGACTCACTGATGACTGCAGTGTTCTCAGGTCTGTTGAGGGAGCTGATAATGACAAAGCCAAAGCCTTCGTTCTCTTTACGGTGGATGACAACATCACTGGTCTGCAGGGCCGCTCCTTCGGGAGCAGGAGTGACTGTGGGGATGCCCACACCATGAGCAGCTGCGTGGGCATCACTGCGAGGAGAGCTGTGCTGAGTTGAGACAGAGCCAGGACTACGGCCATTCACTGGACAGGGCTCACCTGTGGACAAGCATGCACACGTCACATAACACAGATCACATGACACGCTTCACCTGAAGCCAAAAGCACATCTGCCCCCCTTCTACACCGCCCTGGGAGTCATGATTTCATACAGTCTGTTTTCAACCAAAGACATCCTCAAATCTCCTCTTTGGAGACTTGCCAGTTTTGCAGCATTTATTACACACAACACTGCACTCCTCTGCTTCCCAAAGGGATTCCCCGTCAAAGGCAAACTTTTCCTCTGTTTGCATTCTGCTGAAAGAACTCCAATGCAACTGTCTACCTGTGCACATTTGTTACATTTATGCTCCCAGAGTCAGCAGAGGAAATACAGTGTATGCTTAAAAATAAGGACACAATCAGATGTTGAGAAGCACATTCACCTTAGGCACACAGAGGGATCTTTTTAACTTGCTGTCAGTGATGTAACCTATTACATTCTCATTTTAACTTAGACAAAACAAACTAGTCCTCACCGGGCATGTGCACCCTTCTCCTGACTGTCAGGCTGACTTGGCCATTGCGAGCAGCTGCATGCATCAGGTCTATTACATATTTGTGTGGTTTCCCAGCAACCACATTCTTATCCACCGAAATTAGCTCGTCGCCAGGCCGCAGTCGTCCATCACGTTCAGCCGGAGTGTTCTCTATTATGGCTCCAATAACAATCTGTTCAAGACAATCAATATTAGTAGCATAGATGAAGAAGAAGAGGAAGAAATAGCAGCACAAATAAGTTATTGCAATTACAGTAGTGTAGGGGTCAAAATAAATACATTTGTCATTGTAGGCCATTTGACTCAGTATGCTGTTTTTCACTGAGATGAGTTAGCAAGACAAGAGAGAAGTATGGGCAGCAGTAAAAGATATTGGTTATATCTGTGTGTTTGGGAATCTAATGCAGGTTGGTCCAAACTATGGCCAGAGAGTGAATTGGCCCAAAATACCACAAACAGGTCTTTTTACTGTAAGTTTAGAAAACCTCCACCATCATAACCACAGGATCTTTTTTTGTTTGACAGCATAGCATATGACAAATTATACTACTGCTGTATTTTTATTTCTCATGAACCAGGGAGTATTGGCTGCACTTGGGCAGTCCATCACAGTTTCACTTTTCTGATACCCGTCTGGAGTGTGAAAAGCAGATCCCCAAACTTTTAAGGACATATAACAGTTTATCATGTTTTCCTAATTATTATTTGGTTTAGTGGAGTATTACCTGTGGTTAGGGGTGGGCGATATTTCGATATTTTAAATATATCGAGATAGTTTTTAAACTCGATATGAATTCTGACATATCGTATATATCGATATAATGTTTATATTCAATTTTGATTTCGCCGCTTCGCTTGTTTATCTTCTCTCTCGTCTCCTCCGCGCGCCGCCGCCTCACTGATTTTGTTCGCTCGTGTCTCCTTCACTTCTCACTATCACCGTGAACGCCGAAAGTTGGTGCCAGTGAAAAGCTTCAAGCACCACGAACCTTTTCCACCATTTACAGACAAAACCATCAGCAGCACATCCTCATATTCCACCGAGTCGCGTCCTTTAGCCCGAAAGAAGCTAAACGAGCTGAGCTGCAGGAGAAGTGCGCTGTTTATGCAAATGAGCCATGCGCTTAAGTTTCGTTTCTGTAAAATGTAAACACACGTGCGCAAAACTGCATTTAACACATTATTATCGCAAACAGGCTGATGTGGCTCTAGAGTCGTTATGCTTTATATATTGTAAAGTTTAGCAATGTAAAGTTTATTTATGCAGAAGATTTTAATTAATAATCTGCTGCAATGTCACTTGTACAATAGTGTTTGGAAACGTTGGGTTTGATCTGCAGTGGATTGTGGGATTAAACCTCATAGCTCCTTACTGCTGGATAATAACATGGATCTATTGAAATAAGGAACATCCTGAGCTTCTTCTGCTAAATGAGCTCATGGTTCTGGTTCTGGTTTGGATAACAGAGTTAATGCAAAGATGAGCTTGTGTTGAGTTGTTTTATTTATGAATGAAAAGAAGGAAATATGTATTATTTCTTTTATTTTACAGTTAAATTATTATTTATGTAATTAGGGTTTTTTGTAATCTTAAATGTTCCAATATGAACTGCCGACCTCTTACACTTCAATTAAAAAAAAGGACCTTGTGGAATTTGGCAGATTTGGTTTTGCAGTTTTCAGTTTCAGGGGGTTATTTTTTCTTGAACATATATCGAGATATATAATGTATATCGAGATATAGCTAAATATATCGAGATATATTTTTTGATCCATATTGCCCAGCCCTACCTGTGGTATTATTACATTTATCATAGTTTTACATCAGTTAAGAGTCAGTTTGTGGAAAAAAAAAACGTTGAGAAGAAAAGTGCAGGATAATACAGGAAATACGTGGACAATTTGCACATAAGGAACACATTTCACTGAGAGATTAGAATTCATTTGGACAAAAGAAAGGTGCTGTAACCAATTTTCATGTGTCGAATTGTAGTTATATACCTGTAATTTAAACAGCTTTTGCCCTCTGCCTAGTGTATGTTTCTCTATACAGCCCTCAGTGAAATTTGTTTTGATATACCTGATCTAATGGATAAGTTTTTTAGGAATGTTAATGATGATGTGCATGTAGGTTAAGAGTGTGTGAACCAGCCCGTCCCATACGAGCCTTGTCACGGGCGTCCGGACTCACAGCCTGCACCGCCTCGTCTCCCCCCAGGATCCGGAATCCAAATCCCGTCTTTTCCCTCAGCAGGTGCACTTCCACTTCCTCATACTCAGGACCTGGCACAAACAAATGATTAATACTACAGTACATTACCATGAAATTTGTTCAGCTAGGTTTCGGCACTCACGTCTGCTCTCGTAAAGGGCCCGGGACTTCTCGTACAGGTCATAGGGATCTGGTTTGTTGAGGTCGAAGCCCTCTGTAGAGTCCGGCACAGAGGTCCGGTGTTGGGGTTGGTTAGGGAAAGGTGTGCCCGGGGGTAGTACTGGACCAGAGAGGTTGGTCTGGGGGCTTCCATGCTGGTCCCACTGGTCTGGTAACTACAGGGGTGGCAAAACAAAAGTAAATGTTGAAAGAATATGAAAAATGCTATAATCTGAGATGTTTAGCCAAGCTCTTAATGACTACCAGTTGTCTCTTTTAATATTTGGTCAATGTGACTCTATAAGCTACTCTCACATCTTCAATAGTAGTAAAAACACATCTTAATTATCTACTGCCCTGTGTTTGGGTGGGGGTGTCCCTTGGGTGCTCACCTTCAAAAGTGCATACATGCCATAACAGAAAGAGTTTATGAGTACCTGCCGCTAGCTTATCTTGCTCAGTGTTCTAGCTTGTACTTCTTGCACTCCAGCTTTCAAACACTATACTATACTTAGTTCTAAGATTTAGTTACTATTTCCATTGTGAGTAAGTCCATTCCATTGTGACAAAAGCTTTAAGTTGGCAATATTAAATGATGTGGAAATTTGTGTTTGCTACACTGCTCCTCCAAATATGATTTAGTTTATCTAATTTTTATGATTTATCCACAAAAAATAGTTGAAATTATAAATCAGATGTTGTGTCCAGGCAGTTCTTCTTACTTGAGTAGTAGTTTGAGTAGTAGAAGTAATTTTTTGGACCACTGCTTTGTACCTCTCCATGAGTAATATCTGAGTATATCTCTGTACATATAGGATCATTCACTCAGGGAGGTTTTGATTGAGGTTCTGATAAATACTAACATGTTTGTAAGTTATATAAAAACACGCTATATAACCAAACAACCCATATAACTCATAGCAATGCTTTAATAAAACCTACATAGAAGAGACAGCAGACTGAATGATGTGAACCGGCCAGAACAGCCAGCTTCATTTGTCAATAAAGCGCAAGTCGAATGCTCAGAGGTAGATGAGACAAACACAACAATATCTGTGCGCTCTTTCAAACTGACACACACACAGACGGAGATCACTCACCTGTTTGGACGCCTTCCACGGAGAGATGTGGCCTGGGGGAAGAGAGAGCAGTAAGAACCAGAAAGCAATATTTAGAAGAACACATGTTTTATATTTGTAACAAGGCAGCTCAGCAAAATGCACTTGTTGGAAATTAAAGTTGGGGATGTGTTTTGAGGCTACTCAGCATTCAACTGAAAAAGTGTAAATCTGCAAAATCCAGTTTATATTAAATAGGTAAGTTTATTCAAGTTTTGTTATTTGTTATTTAGTCCTAGTTTAGTCTTGATTTTTCAGAGTTTACTTAAGGTGACAGTGGCTCAAGAAATATAAAAAATATATTCATCTTATAACCTGAATATTGGTTGTATCACATCACAAATAGGTCATACTGCCATTGTGTCCTTGCACAAGAAACTCCACTCATCTATGTTAATTCTGTCAAAACAATTAGACTAGGGCTGTGTATTCTTATGCATTATAAGTCTTTCTTTTTACAGTGGGCATTACATAATGCAATTGGACGTATTCTCTGTCCTTAGTGTGATGATGCCACACCCTCAAATTTTCAGTTAGGCTAGTGTTAAACCAATAGAGATTTTAAGATGCTAAATACTTTGCTTTACTTTTTTAATACTGTTTTTTGAATGTAAAGTTTTTTTTAAATAAATGAATCAAACTGAAATCTCACAAATGTTGAATTTGATCATTCTTTCAAGTCCAATAGCCTGCTCTAAGTATCCACCTCTAGCATGAATGAGGATATTAACAATAGTAAACTAGCTCCAATCTCTGTAAAACATTACAGGGTTACAAAATCTCTTATCCAACAACACATACAACATTCTTTCTATTGCTTACGTAGCTATGGAAACAAACAAACAAACAAAAAAATTTTTTTCAAGAATTAACATCTTCATTCCTGATTACATAAAAACTCCCAGTGTGATCCTTTAAACCGCCCTCACTTTTGACTTTGTTTGTGTTAAACACGTTTGCTTGTTGCATTTGTTTTCAGTATAATTACATCAGTAGCTAGGGGCAAATTTACCCCCCTCCCTCCTTTCCCAAACCCTCCCTCCAAAATCTTCTCACTCCTCATGCTTTGCTTTCCTCTCCAAGTCATTTTCTATCTACATATGAGGAGCGGAGAGCACACCACATCACAAAACCAACCTCATCAACCCATTTCCCTGGTGTAGAGAATCAAAGACATGCACTGTTGTTATGCTTCCCAGACCTAAATACACACATGGATATTAAGAGGAGAACTATGCATGCAGCTCCTTTACACACGTGGATGGCAAGCACAAAACACGCTAACCGAAGAGCTATCCCACAGGCACTGTTGATTTGGTGAAGACAATTTAAGAGAGGCCCCTGATATATTATGAGATTTCCTTAGAAAAGACAAAAGAGTGAAGCTGTTTATGGAAAAGAAGGAAAAATGTAAATGAAATAACCATTTGAAGGGAAATGCAGTTTGCTTCCAGAGAGTGAAAGAATGAAAAATATGGTGTAAAATATTTGGTGTCATATATAAGCCATAAAAGGTATAAATAAATATATATATATATATATATATATATATATATATATATATATATATATATATATATACTTTTTTTTTTTTTTTTTTAGGTGACACCACCAGGTCAAGTTACAGGTCTGATTTGTGGAGAGGCAAGCCAGTAAAAATGTATGCTTTACCAGATGCTTTATAGCAACAATAAATGGATTAATAAACAAAAGGTAGATCTCCATGGAGACAAGAACATGGCGGACTACCTACTAAAAAATACATAATACACCTATTAAAACACACTATTGCAATTAACACATTAAAATAAACATTGAGGAAGCAAATTAGGAGTTTAATATTGTGCAAGTGAATATAAAATGATGCACACTTTAAGCTATAGTTATGGACAGAAGGGAGAAGAGAGTCATTGGGAAAAGCCTCCTGTGTTCCCCGGAGCTGTCCATGGTGCTGACGTGATTCTGCAGTGTGGCAGCAGAGGGAGCCACTGTGGGATGCTGTCACTAATGTATGTGTTCAGTTGGGAATAGGAAAGCCCTTAAGGAATCCTAATAACTGATTCTGAGGAAACTTCTCATGAGGACCCAGCCAAAGGAAATGCCGTGTTAGCTACAGGCCATTTGTCCACTCCCATTAGAAGAGGTGCCGTCCTCACACACACTTTTAAGAGTCATTTAAATGCTAATATTATGCCTCTTCATACACGCTGGACTCTTCTGTGCATGCCGATGAGGAGCAGAGAGTCGGGAGTGGGGGTGGAGGGTGGGGGTGGCACATGTCCTCTCTCTTCCTCCACTTGTCTGTCACTCTCTTGTCTTCTGTCTCTCAATCTATCTGTTCTTCCCTCTCCTTTCATCCATTTGTTTTTCTCCCTTGCCCCTCTTTACCTGCATCTCCTTTCTCTTTCTCTCCGTCTCTGTACACCTCTCTCATCCCTGTCTCTTTCCCTTGCTCCACCTTTCTTTTGCTCCTCTTTTCCTTCCCCCCTCCATACTTTCCCTCCATAGAGGGAGGTGAGGAATTTCTCTCTCTATCTCTCCATTTTTTATTGACTCTCTCTATTCCTCCTTCTGTTTCACCCCTTTGTTGTTTTCATACCTCTCTAATTTCTCTGCTACTCTCCCCCTTTTTCCCTTCCCTCTCTATGCCCCCTCTATCCTTTTTTCCCTTCTTCTCCCCCTTTCTCTCTTTTTCCCTCTCTCTCTCTCTCTCTCTCTCTCTCTCTTATTTATTTACCCCTCTCTTCTTTTTTCCCATCTCTCTCTCTTCATTTACCCATCTCTCTCACACAAGGCAGTGTGGTCAGCCAGTTTGGCAGACGGCTTCGACAGACTAGCCTGCTGCGACCTGGCCGCCACTCAGAACTCCACCTGATTGGCTGCTGCTCACACAACACCCTGCCGTCACCTCGCGTCCTCATTGGTGGGTGCAAAACGTTCCCTGTTTGCAACTGGCTCGATTTCAAATTCAGGGAAATCTATCTGGAACTGTGCCCATGCTACGACCAAGCACACAAATGTAGACATCTGTGTAAAATTCTCAGCTGTGAAAGGTAAACATGGCAGAACAAGATGACATATGGTTTGAGGCAGAGGAGAAGCCTTGTCCCCTGAATGACCCTGCGGAGATGAGCTGTGTGGGTGGAGTCAGAGGGCGGTGCACTGTGTCAGGCTACAGTCCCAATAGGGCCGTCGTCCTGACCAGTTTGAGAGAAAGAGGAGAGTTTGAAGAGGAGATGGTTTCTTTGGGAGGAGGGAGTCATTTGTCACACTGGGGCTGAGGAGCAAAATTATGAGCAGTTTGTGTCTTTCAGTGTTGCAACACTAAAATAGAGCAGTAGAATTAAAGTATTACAAATGTTATTCAGCATAAATATCAGCACAATCAATAGACCATAAAGATGCACTATGAATCTTTTTGGTGGAGAGTCTGTCTCCTGCTTGTCTCCATGGAGATGATAATGCATCTGTCTTGCATCTATTTTATTGCACTTTATTACACTTTTATGCAAGGACTGCCTTAAAAATATGAAATCTTAACATGAGTAAGATCACCTCTCCACATATCTGACCTGTAATAGATAAGTTCAGTGCATTCCAGCAATAACATGTCAGCTGATACGAGCAGGTGGCGGACCCTCCACCAGAAAATTTACATAATACCCCTTTAAATAAAAAACATACTTTGATTTAAATTTATACTAAATTGAGTAGTATAATAAAATACAAATAAGATACAGTATGACTGGGGGAAAAGATGCATAGATTTTTAAACAAATGTTCTCATCAACAAATATTAATAGCTGAGACAGACAAAAGACAAAACCAGGTAATTTGCATATGCTAATTCTCCTTGATAAGGCTGCATGATGATTACCCTATGTTTCACTTAGTGTAAGCTAACTGCTATAGGCAGCTGTGATATTGCTGTGTTTGATCTTGTCACCAAACTAAATTAAACTTGTCAGTTACAGCAGAAATAAGTAATAGAGTCAGGAGCTGTAGAGACATGGGTCTATGAATCATCATTTACACTCAACTGTTTTAATTGCAAGTAAAGGGCCACCAACTAGAATTAGGTTACTTTTGGGATAATTATGTATATCTAATAAATTATTCAGATTTTTTTTAAGCTATAGATATAAAGTCCTACCTCAAGGTTTTAAAGCCAAAAGAACATGAAGGCATAAAAACTACAGAATCCTTTAAATATTATCTGGAAATGTCTGCCAAAAAGTGCATAATTTATTCTCATACAACTGTGTAGTTTTAATGATTAGGGTAAGATCAAAGTTATTTAAGTATATGTCTACACAGTATAATACATTTGTTATTGCAGAGGTTAACCACCAGGGGGCATATACTGGTCCTTTTTGAGACACAAAATCCAGAGCCTCACATAGGCCCCTGCTCAGAGATTTAAAAACAATTAACAGTAAATTAGCTGTACAACATGTAGCCTTGTACAGGGACTGGGTGGAATTTACTGTCCTTAGTGTAATCAGGAGTGATTCAGTGAACAAGAACACAGTGTACAATCAATCTCCCAAGACCAAAGAAACGACTTTATCAATACAAGTCTATAAAGGGTCACTACTGTGGACATGACTGGCATAAAATCAGCACTCACACTACTTAGATTTGATAATTTACCTGCACTTACAGATCAGATGTCTTTTAGTTATGTCACAATATTGTTAATTAGGATGTCTGACGGTGCATTATGTAACTTTTTATGGTGGAAGATACTTGCTTGACTCCATGGAGATGTTATTGCTTTGCCTAAACTGTTTGATGATATTACATTAAACATATCTAACAAACATGTGGCACCAGAAGGCCATGTTACAGGTCAGGTTTGTGAAGAGGTGAACCCAGTCACAGTAAGAATGTATGTATTTGTAGTAACACATATAACAAAAAAAAGATACAATTCCAGGCAAAATAAAATCTCAGGAGTTGAAAAGTTTGAAAAGTTACATAGTTCCACAGTATGTAACTTTTTAACCAAAAAATACACTAAAATAAAAACATGTTTTTATATTTTTTGTTTTCTTTCCTTTTTTTTAGGAAATGTCATTCCCTTGGGTATAATATTTCACAGCATGTCATTAAACTAATCTATTACCATGGAGAATGTTCTGAAGTATGGTTATATTTTTATTAAATCTTTAGGTGACGTGCCACCTCCAGAAACTTACATACTGACTTTTAATTAATGAAGGTAATTATTTTCAAAACATAAGACCTAAACATGTGTGGAGACAATATCTTATTATTATTACTTAAGTAAGTTTTTGTAGCTGAAATAACAGAAATTTCTTTAACTTTGGACTAATTACTAAGCTATTCAAGTATAAAAACAGTGCAGATGGTATTAGTAGACTATGATACTGGCTTGGAGGTGGAAAACGCTCTGTAATGATCAAGTCAGATTTTCACCCTATGGTAAGATCTTTTTAAAAACACTAGGCTGGCTTGTATGTGGAACAAATAACAGTTAAGCAGTAATTGAATCTCCGTGCAGGTGGTTGATGTAGCAAGGGAACAGCGGAAGAGAGAGAGACAACCATAATCCTCATGGTTCTGGCCACAATTCAACAACTCGAAAACATCTGTTATATTAAACTCCTCCTCACCTGTCCCTTCTGTCACTTTATATTTTGATTTATTCTCTAATACAAGGTTACATTGTGATACGCTCAAATGATCTCAAGGGGGATTGTTGCTTAAAGGAACAGATGATGCTTAATTTGTGCCATAGAAATGAATCAAATTATGCATGTGAATTGGCAGGTGGGTAGTACATTTACTTGATTAACTTCTAGTTTTCAGAGCACGTTTGGCAGCATACTTTTTAATCCTACTTGAGTGATGTGTTGAGTAACCAACCACTATGTTTTCACTATGTTCATGTCTTAATACTGTTTACAGTTAGTATTCTCTTGTTCATATAATCTTATGTCATAAGACTTTACTAAACCAGATGAGCTGGAGTAGTTTGAATCTGTCCAAAAATAGTGCAGGGTTGAATTGGCAGTGATCATAATTAGCATGTCTTTGACTCCTGCTCTCATGTCGAGTCCACTTGACTTTTTCTCATGTGGAGCTGCAGCTGGGTGGATGATATTCATTCAGTTTAATCTCTCACTCTGTGCTGGCAGCTTCGTGTTTAAATTATCAAAAAAAAAAAAAAAAAAAGATGTACTAAACATTTCATAAGTACTTAATGTGATGTAACTGTTTTATTAAGGCAGTTAAAATATCTACTATACAATAAAATGACTGGATTAAAGAAGCTTGGCTATGTAATAAAGTTAAATATGTCTCACCCCACCAGGTATATTGTAAAAGCAGCTCTTAGTCTCAAAATGAGATGACCGTGTGCTGTCTGCATCTAGTTATAAAGCCTTTTATTTTATGTTAAGACAGAAGTAACGTTGGTGTGCTGTTAGCATGCTAGTTGTCATCAGCATTATTTTGACTCCAGTCTGGCCTCTGAGATTTGGGAAAAGTGCTTTAAAACTCATTGTGATGAATATTTATAATGATTCTACCTTTAATTACTTTTACTTAAATTTGTTAGAACCCTTCAATTTAAATCCTTTACATGTAGGACTTCTCATCTCCCCATATGTTCCATTGGTTTTGTCTTGGAGCAGACACACCAAATGAGCACTCTGGAGGCTATGACAGGAGGATGGATATGAGACACTGGAGCTGCTGGCATTACAGATGGTCAACATGCTTAAATGCACTCTGTCTGCCACCACAAGGATTTAGTTTTTGTTTTGAGCAACATGGTCATTGATTTGGGTAGATTATTTCATCCAGACGGAATCCAACTTATGATGGTGAGTAAAATTGATGAATGTAATTTGCTCAGAAAGAGAAATCGCACAAAAGCAATTGCACAAAAATTCTCTAACACCTGTGGTAAAATCTCTCAAGTGCCCTGTGGATAATGTCAGTGTCAGGTGTTGAGTTGTTGCTCATAGTTTGTTGCACAATAACTTTTAATATGTTACTTCAGCCCAGCCCAGCTGTATTTTAAAGATATTTTACAGTAGTGTTGTCAGTCATGATGCTAAATTTCAAACTCAATTTCAAGACTAATAAATAGACTTGATTCTGATACCACGATGATAATGAAAACACTCTTTATTTAGAATGAATGTGAATGTGGTTTTCAACATTAAAAATAGTACTTTATTTTTATATTAGCATATCCTCCTATATCTGTGTAATCTCCCAGTTGTACAAGTAGGTTCCATAATGGTTCATGGGCATATGCTAGTCTATGTCATATAATTGTTCTGCAACAGCTCAAGATCTTTCTAAAGCTATTCAGAAAAGGTCAATTTCTGTCCAGTGAATGTATTTTTTTTTAATATACCTGCTGAAATGTGTATTTATTGTCAGTACTAGTTTAAGTATCAATTAGTATCAGATTTTCCAATACTTTTGACAATCCTAACCTAGACAATACATAGGCATAATAAAATCATCATAAAAAATATGTAAAAGTAAATATACTGATCAACAAGGACAGCTTAGATATTGAATAGAGGATGATCTTGCACTTTCACATTGCCTGACTAGCCAGTCCCTTCTAAATTCGGTTTCAATCCAGAATAGTCAGGAATCAGTCAATAGAGGGTGAAAATCCTCTATCCTAACTTGAGATGGTCCAACCACAGCCGCTAATTTGTATTGAGAACAAAATATGACTTGTTTTACCTGAGATAAATGTGGGTGGCCGAGCTTACCGTGACAGGGACTCTACCGTCACAATGAGTAACATTTGGTGCTTCAACAGGACTAGAACAGGACTAAACCAAATCTACATCATGACTAAACTTGGTTCAAACAAATCAAGACCAAATACAATCAAATATATTCTATATTTTCCACAAATTGTATGAGATAATATAAACATTGTGCTATACAGGTCTAATTTCTAACTGGTCTAACTTTCTCACATAAACAAATCCCCAGACTACTATTCTAAAAACAAGCCCCTGTGAGGAGAATAGACGGCCCAGGACAGTTGCCTCACCTGCCCCCCCCCTTTGGATGAGCAGGGTGGCTTCTGCGCCCACGGGACACTCCTTGAGCAGCTCCACCACGCGGTTGTGTCCAGCTGCGGCCACAGGCTGCTGGTTCACCTCCAGGATCAGGTCCCCTTCGATCAGGTTTGATGCTCCCTGTGGCGTGCCTGGTTCCAACACCTGCGCCACAGTCACCTAAACATTAGAGAGACTCAGAGAATACTCAACCATCTCCACAACTCAGCTCAAATCACAAGCAAGACAATGGAGATATGAGCAAACTATTAACACGTTTTAATGGGAAAAACAACCAGTGCTTAAATAGGAAATAGAAATAATGCAGTTAACTATGAAACTAAAAAACTATTTGTTTTCAGAAACAAGAACAAAAAACAAAACGCAATTTTAACAGGAAAAAATGAATGTTGTATTTATCAGCTTAAATACTGATGGAATAAATAAAAGTTATTAAGAAGTTATCTAACATTTTTATGATGATGATTTTTGATTTGTAATAGAAAAGTTTCAGTGGACAGAAGATGCTTGGCATAAAACTATAAAGAAGTGCTGAGTACACTACAGCTCTTTCACATGAATTAAATCAATAATAAGTAGCTCTTCCAGTAATGGCTTGGTTTACCTAATACCCAATATATGAGCAAAATAGGGCCTTTGGTCCTTATTTAACTATGATGTGTTGTCTAGCAACAAGATGTACTTTCATCAATAATGCATTTATTTCATATATTTACATATATTCACTTTGAGCAGTGGTTTTAGCACATATGCCATGTTCTAATATAGGCATACTGTTTTTATTACATTGTGTAATACTGGATGTACAGAACTGTAATGTAGAGATGCCAATCAGAGTCTTAAGAGACGACTGCTCACCTGCTTGACTCGCTGGCCCGTGGGACTGTCCGCGATAGTGAAGCCAAAGCCCTCCGCCCCCTTCACCATAGTCACTGTTAGTAGCTCGGCTGGCTGCACTGTCACCCCAGCCCCCGCAGTAGTGCCTCCTGAGCCCATAGAGGCAGTGTCCTCGTGGGGGGTGACGGCTGACCCGGGGGTGGTGGGAGGCAGGGAGGAGCCATCCAGGTGAGTGTCCCCTGGGTGAGGTGTCCCTGCCAGGCTCTGAGAGGGAAGCTGGGAGCTAAGAGACAAGTATTCCAGGTATGGGTCATAACTGCTGCGGCCGTTCACCACCAGGGGGCGATGCTCCAGGCCGATGGGGGTCAGAGAGGTGCCCGCTGCAGCATTGGGGTCTTCGGGGTCAAATGGCAGAGGGTAGCCCCGACAGAGCACCAGGGTGACACTTTGACCAATGGGCACAGACTGGAACAGTTTGACCACATCTGCGTGAGTGGTGCCCAGGACACAGATGTCGTTTATGTACACAATCACGTCACCTGGAGACACAAGATAGAAGACAATGATTCTACAAATTATTAGATTCTTATTTCAAAAATCCTATTGGATAAATTCTACCTACGTATATAAAAAGATAAAAAATGTAATAAGGTACTCTATAGATGACCAAATAAGTTAAGTATACCTTAAAATGTAATATTCTACAATATTCACAATACTGAGACACTTTTGATACAATGCATTATTTGCGAGCATTGCTATCTCCATATTTATAGATATCTTGTGTTTTTTAATCAAGAAAGAGGGAATTCTGCAAATGCTTCCACTGCCTGAAGGCAATAGACAGCCCATTCTTTTAATAGCTTTCAGTTGAGTTTTTACTATTAAAGATGTCATTAGTAGCATTTGCCTCATTCATAGATATACCATCCTGCTCCTGCTTATTAATAACATGCCTACAAATGATCATAGGTGGTGGGAGCAGCTCTAGTCTGAGTGTAGTGTCACTAGAGGCTCTGGGCTGCGGATGTGTGAGACAGTGAGGTGAGAAGTGCCAGTGTGTGTGTGTGTGTGTGTGTGTGTGTGTGTGTGTGTGTGTGTGTGTGTGTGTGTGTGTGTGTGCGTGTGTGTGCGTGTGTGTGCGTGTGTGTGCGTGTGTGTGAGTCTGACAGCCATCTGGTGCACACTGGTGTCCTCAGAGACCAACTTATGTTTAGCACTGACAGAGCAGGCCAGCACCGAGGCCATGTCCACAATAGACTTTTCCTTCAAACTCAGGACTGCTGCAGACAGCCTGTTATAACATCATGTATCCCCTGTCTGTCTAAAGCCACGCTACAGGTACTTTTCTTACTCAGTTCATCTCTGTACCTAAGACTGGAGCAGAAATTCAACAAGGAACACAAAAGAAACCCACTTCCTAATTGATTTGTATATATCTTGTCATTTTGTCAGACAGTTCCAATTGGTTGCTGGCAGTCTAGGACCTTCTCGCCTGCATATTGCATATTCTTTCTATGCTTAAATGCAAAATAGGCTAATATAATTCCTGGCCAGGAACAAGATCCGGAGATGGGTCTCCAGGTGCTGCATTGTGAGGATGGGTCAAATGCAAAGGAGACATTTTCCTACAGGGACAATAAAACATAATTTAAATCCCCACTTCTTATCTGTGAGCAGGCTTACATCTCCACAAACCTGACAAATTTGGCCTGGAGCAGGGCCTCATCCTGTTTATTTCCATGAAACTGTTGTTTATTTGGCTATAATATTCCACAGTATGGCATAAAACTATTCAATTTCCATGGAATAATGCAGGTAATGTGCCAACAGAACAATAGACGCTTCCCTCTAATTCATTACTATACTAGTAGTACTATATAAACGATACAATTTAAAAAGAAACTGTTTATTTGTTTATATGTCTATAAAATTTCTACTTAAAAGTCAAAAGGAAAAACAAAAGTCTGAAGGCTCAGTTAAAGTTCAGGTTAAAGCAATTTCAACATAATAAAAGTTACAAAATGAGTCAGTACAGTCGCATTGCCATGACAAATGCAATTGCTCAAATCCTCTATTTCACACTTGTGGGGGCAGTCTCTGTACAACCGCACTTACTCACGCCCAATCCCTGAGAGCCATGCTGCGCAGCTCAAATAGGCCAGCTAATCTGAGCCAGCCTATGTGCAGCTATGGCAATGTCACACAGAGGCGGAGAGAACGAAGAGAGACTGAAACTAGAAAGAGGATTGAAGGGATGGAGGGATGGACAGAGGAAGGATAGCAAAGCGAGGGGCTGAGGAGTTAGATAACCTGGTCCAGTAGGAAATCATAATAAATGCTAGACAGAGAGACAATGATGCTGGTTACGTAGATTTGATTTCAGACCACAGGGAATAGGGCTGAATGATTTAGGTTTTTATTTTGAGTACCAGCTGATACCGAGTACTGATTGCAATACCAGGCTTTATTTTTTAACAGGTGTTCTATTAGAATGGTAAATCTAATTTATTTCATATGATTTTTATAGTGCCTGCTTTTTACTGGAAAAATTATTGGAGGGGCTGTTTTAAATTTCTACTAATATCACTGTAGTTAGGTATAATTTAGAGAAGTACCTTAATATTTAATACTTTGTCTTAGCACAAGAACTGCTAAGGAGCTTTACAGTAAGTGTTTTCTTTTTTGTCTGTACTGATACATTCCTAACACACACATAGTTAAGTCTGATTTTGAGTGTATTTGAATTGTAATAATTAAATTGAATAAAAGTTGGCTGTGTTTTGAGTGGTTTATGTGTTACACACTACAGTACAGGTTGAGCCACCATAGTGCTTGTTAGAGCTTCTGCAGTGGCTCCTACTGAGTCAGGCCATGGCCCAGCAGACAACCCAGTAGCCCAAACCAGAGGAGAGATCAAAGATCGGCCACATTTAAGTGTTTCAAGTTTAGTAAAAATCATTCAGGCAACAGTCCCTGGAATATGTTTTCAATAAATTCTGGCATGTAGGATCACATTTGGAGTGGATTTTTTTATTTTTATTTTTTTAACAAAAACAGCTTTTTAACAAAATTTATCTCCCCCCAATCTGTATGAAATACTATTGGCTTGTAGAATGTTATGTCATCTGAAATACAGCAATAATAATAAATACAATAAGTATAACATAATAGCTCCATATTACACAATTTCCGTTTTTGCACTGTCATAGGAGAGAAGTGAATACATCTGATGTGAAGTAATAGGATGACAAATTCATTCAGGTTTTGCATCCTCTTTCAGTCTGTTGCCTAGAGATTAGAACACAAGGTCGTGCTATTGCTATGGTTACAGAGTTTTTACAGTGATGTGTTGTATTTATTTTATTAATGTCAATAAAATCAGGGCTCTTATTTAATAGAAAAGTAAGGTGAAATATATTTTTGAGAGGTGGTATAAGTTTGTCCTTGTCTAGGATGAAGTATAGCTCATATAAATATAGTGCAGCCCAAATATGCCACGGTGGGCTTGTGATGCCCTCTCAGAATGAATTTATGTCTCTGCAGATGTGAACACTCCACCTTGAGTCTTTTTGAAAACACACTTTGAATAGATAATCATTTGGCGGTGACATTTTTAATACTATTTAGTTTAATTAAATAAATACAATTAAGTACATCGACTAAACATTTTACCCTTTTCTTACTGAAAATCTAAAGCTGTTTAGTAGTAAAGCAGAATTAAGAATGCTAAATAAAAATAATTAAGGTGCTAAACACAGATGTGACCCATTCTTAATGTATTACTTAATTATTAGTTATGTATAGTGGTAGTGTTATTATGCAGGCAACCTGGGCTCAAATGCAACACAAAGAACAGAGTCAAACACAAATATCTTAGCACAGTACAAGTGTATGATGTCTTCTATGTTTGTGATGATTAAATATATGGCTGTGGAGCTACAAATTAATTGGCCTTAGACAGAAATAAAGTTTTCTGAATCTGAATGTAACTAAGCAAACACTGTTTAAGGCTCTGGGTTGTGTCTAGATTTGTTGCTAAATGTGACAGAACAGCAAAACAACAACAAGCTATACCTTTATTTAATAATTTCCATCCTTTTATTTATTTAACCAGGATTGTCCTACTGAGTTTTAGAATCTCATTTTCAGGAGGTTCTGGGCCCAGAGGGAACCTGATTGTATGTGCATATTTTAGTGGCATGGGAAACAAGACAACCTGGAGAAAACCAATACAAACTCTAGAAGAAAATGCTACTTCCACACACCAGAAATTGTAGAGAGGGCTTTGGAACGCAATGCACTGGTTTACCTGTGTCCATTTTGCCGTCCTGTGCGGCTGGTCCCTCTGGGATCACACTCTTAACCTGGAGGAACTCATCGGGCTCATCTCCTCCGATGATGGTGAAGCCAAAGCCCATGTTACTCTTCTGTAGGGCTGTGGACAGGAATGTGCCTTTGAGCTGGGTCGGGTCCCGCGTGAACAGAGGCTTTTCTGTAAGAAGAGATATTAATTTATTTATATAGAGAAAAAAAGAGTGAACTCCTATCATGTTACATAAACAGTGAATTACAGTTCTAAAATAAATTTAGTGCATTTAAATATAATTTTACATATAATATATAATAAATTGTTAATTTATGGCATTAATAATAACTAAAACTGTAAAAAAAAATATTATCCTGATGCCCTCAGTAATATAAACCTGAACAAACAAAATGAACAAATATATATCTATTTTTCTGACTGTATTTTGTATATGCTATCAGCTACTTTATAGTCAAATGTATGCACGGATTAGAGGGCTACGTGCTTCAGGCGAATCCTGTCTCCTGCTTCCTCCTTCCCCTGCTGTCAGTCACACTATATCAATATTTTTACACCAGTACAAACATAAAATACTTCCATTTAAATGACTGTAGGGCAGATATGAGAAAATGTGTTTTTTCAGAACTAAGCAGAATATTGTCATGATGATATTATTACAAATTCATAGAAAACAGGACCAAAACAAGTCAAAATATTAAAAAGGATTATATTCCCAGTTTTTTCAACGATATTGTAAAAACAGCTCTTATAGGCAAAATAAGAATAATAAGTGTTTTTATGATTGATGAATCAGGAAGTAATGCTGATACATGCTAGCAGTTAGAGTTATTGTGATGCAAAACTCCTATCTGGCTTTTGAAACTTGTGAAACGGGGCTTTAGGATGCTAGGAACATGTTGGGCAAGTGGAATAACTTTATATTGCTGGAATACTGGTCTTATATTATGCTAATATTATATTATAATATTATGCTATAACTAACTCTTGTGAGCTTTAATGTTAGAATGTTGTTACCACATCAAAAACATGCCCAGATTTGTGTTTTGTTTCAAACACACATATTTGAGTAATCTTTTATTATAAGCCTATATCTCCAAAGTTCAAAATACTCTGTTCCACCTTGCGATGTAATGAAGTGGTAGTTCTCAAGTTAACAGCTAACTTTTACCTTTTTGTTCATTAGAGATGAACAATTCCCAGACTGAAATCATCCAAAGTAGTGAAGGTGTACAGAGTTGAAAAACACAGTGGAGCACTTCCTGTATTGCAACAGGACATTACAAAGTGGAACAGAGTGCTTTTTGATTGAGAGAACTGTGAATGACACAAAACACCACTTCAGGTATGTTTGTGACGAGGAAACAACATTATAACATAGATCTGAAAATAGAGTAATATGGGCCCTTCAACTTAACATATTTTTTAAAGGAGTAAAAGTAGGTATAGTTCCTTTAAATAAACCATGGCTAAACTGTATGATTAATTATTGTATGTACTAGATGACATCACTGCCTTTGCTCCATCTTTGATCTGTAAAGTGCAGGATAAGAGAAGATTGTCTGTACCTCTGTAAATAGTGGGGAGGGGCAGAGCAGAGAGACCCTGGCTCTGGATCTGTCTCTGCTGCTCCAAGCGCCTCTTTGCCTCCAGCACTGGGTTCTCAAATTGTGTCCTCCGGTTAATATGACTGAAAATACATAACACTGCATTAAAAATAACAAGAACAATGCAACATTTACATGAGTATTAGCAAAATGGCTATTAAGGCTGGAAGGTTTACATTCAGATTTGAATTAGGCTATATGAGAGATTATATAAGAGACATACAACTTGACCTGTACCTTATGTTTTTGATAAAGTGCAGGTTTTAATTGGACTGTAAAAAAATATTAATATGTATAGTCAAACAGTGAAGTACAGTGATATACTGTGTTGTTGTGAATAGAAAGTACTTGCATACACTCCATTAAAAATTTAAAATAACAAAGGCTCAGATGTAACTATTAATATTAAGTAGACCTGGTATCCCATGATGGAGCCAGGCGTGAGCTATACAAAGGATCTTCATCCAACCTCCATCTGTATTTTTGCTACCAAGCATTGACCAGTCATATTACATTTAACGTCATTTTTCAAGTATTGACTATACCTCTGTTTTAGATAATTATTTCAAACAATTGCTTCTGATCTTTTTAATTTGAGCTGAGTATGTGGATAAAATGTTGGCAGGCCTCAGAGATACTTTAGTACTTTCACATGATATTTTATATTCAGTTTGAGTTTGTGTTTGACGCATTAATCATATTTGCTCCACAAAGCTGAGATAACACAGACATATTTGTTGTGTTGATACAGCCAAATCTATTATGGCAGATTAGAGTACGCCATAATGTTTCTGAAAATAAAAAAGGAACTCCATAACTGCACTCAAGTCGACAATATAACAAATATAAAACATGATCAGGTTAAGTCATTACTGTGTCAACAACACGAATTTTACAGTTAACCAAATGAGCAGCGAGATATAAAGTGTGCAGAACTTCCTCATTCATAATTCATACCGAGGCAGAGAAAACCATAAAAATGCTTTCTGTTTTACAACCGTGGTGCTGATATAAGCTAGCCTACAGGGAGACTTACTCAACATAGTAGCTGCCGTAGATGGGGTCGTCTATCTTCTCCCAGCCATAGGGCAGCTCTGTGGAGGAGAGAGGGAGACGAAACAAGGAGTCAGGAGTTGATGTTAAGAATGAGTGAGGATGAGTGTGTTTGGGCTCTAAATTAAAGGAGAGAGCAAAGACGATGTGAATCTCAGACAGGCAATCCCAAAGCGCCCCTTTAATAGACAGACAGGACTTCGATTGGAGGGCTTCACAACACACTGATCACAGCACGGATGTCAATACCAACTGAATAGGAGAATAAGAAGGAATGTTCCAATATTTCCACATTGACTGCAACAAGGTCCGGTGTTGTGCCTGTCTAAGCTGTGCAAATGGCTTTTAAAGGGAATTCTTAAATCAATCATTTGAAACCAATCTTGATCACATTAAAAAAACATATTACACTATTTTCTGATCTATGTTAATACTGTTTCCTCTTGAAAAACATACCTTGAGTTTTGGTTTGTTCTTCTCTGTAACCAAAAACACGCTTCACCTTCACTAGAATCATTTTGGTAATTTCAGTGGTGGAATTAAACTGGACATAAGGTAAAAGGTTTCTGTCAACTTGAAAACTACCACTACATAACATCACAAGGTGGAACTGAGCGTTTCAAGCTGTGGAGATGTAAACAGACTAATAATAAATAGTTACTCAAAAATGTGTGAATGAAACAAAATACAACTCTGTTTTCGATGAGGTAACAACATTATAACGAGACTGAAAGCTCCCAAGAATCCATTTTGTGAAATATTGATACTTTGCAGTGAAATCACACTGGGGGTGTTCTACATGTATCTCTATTGGTGAAATGTTCACAAGTTATCATTGTGACACAATGTACACATTAGCAAATACAGACAAAAAAGTTTAAAGTTGAAGAAAACAATTCTAAATGGATTTAAACAACTGCTTGGGTGATTTTCACCAAAAATGTGAGCTAGCTTGTGATGGCAATGTTACTTGAGAGGGAATCATCTCGCTTGTTGTAGTTCCAACCAAGTCAGCTCTTTCTTGTCAGATTGTGTTAAAACAAGGCTCAGATTAAAGTCTAACTTGAGTTACAGAGCGTCTAACAGAGCAGTGCTTGCAGTTAGCTTCACACCTCCAGGGAATGTTGATGACATCAGCTGCACAGTATCAATAGGACCTTTAATGCTAGACTGTGCACATTTTTATAATGGGTGCAATATTCTAAAAGAAAAATTGTATGACATTTAAAGGCTTGTCAAATTGGTCAGTGATTGCAGGAGTTGGCTGGGGTACATGGGAAGGCTAGTGGGATAGCCTCCAAAACGTTAAACTGTGTCCAACTAAAGTAATAGTGGATAGCATGAATGCTTGGTACATTAAAAGGGCCAATTTCTTTGTGATAGCCTTCCCAGTAACAAGAATAAAATGTAAACACCACTTCAACAGACATGTCATATCAGATATTTAGAAGTAAACATTTCTGTCACTTGTGAAACTAGGGTACTGCACTAACATATTTCCGTTTGTGAAAACCCGGACACCTTACTGGGGATGGGATGTGGGGCCTCGACACTGAGCTACTCTCACCTCGCAACCTGTGCACATGGCCTCCCACTTGTCCGACTGGGACTGCGCATTTGTGCTTTGGCATGTTGCAGACTGACCGACCATTTGTGTCTGCTTGCTCCTTCTGAGTGCACAGAGCTCTATGAGAGCCGCTCAATTTAATGGCCCCAATGAACGGTAATGAAAACCCGGACTTTTTCCATCACTTAAAAAAAAACCAAAAACAGGACAGGATGCAAAAAATGGACATGTCCAGGGAAAAATGGACGTTTGGTCACCCTAAATCAAACTACTAATACAAATACTGACTGCAGGTTGCTTTTAGAAGCACAACACTCTTTCAATCAATCAATCAAAACTTTATTTCTATACTACTTTTCATACAAACACGATGTAGGACAAAGTGCTTCACACGAAAAGAAATAAGCGACAGAAAACCCCCCCTTATGTGTCAAAGAACAGAAAGATTTTAAGACATTCAAAAATATCATTCAAAAATATTATTCAAAGCTATTAAAAAGCCAAGTGAAATAAATCAATTGCAAAAGCCTGAGTAAGAAAAATAAATAAAAACCCTAATAAAAAAAAAAGTTTCTGTTTTATATGTCGTTTAAAAACAGTTTATGAAAGAGCTAGGCTTTTAAAAATATGAAGTTATGAACATATGATCATTTAAAAGCAGATTATATAAATAAATAGGACTAAAACAGTTAAGAGCTTTGTAAACAAATAAACATATTTTAAAATCTGTCCAGAAACTCAGGGGAAGCCAGTACAGAGGCTTACATGGATTAATGTCTCAGCACTAGCGTGAGAGAGAAATGATCTTTAAACTTGCAGTTTGCACTACTTTTGGGTTTGCCTACTTCCATGTGATCTGATTTTAAGAAGAATAGCCGATTATCATATACAAGAAAGCAACAATATTGCTTAGTAGTACTACTACATATCCAGACCACCCTCTGAGAAAAGTATTACATTATTCTTACACATCCACTGACTCTGTTGCATGTACAACCATTTTCACCCATAAAGCTTCTGTTTCACACATTGTCCCTCCCATCTTTTTCTGGTTTGGACATCAGCCAGGATGTTATGTTAATTATTGTCTCCACCTCTGTCTCTTCTTTCGCTTTTTCTCTCTGTCTTTCTCTCATTTATCTCTTCTTTCTGGGTCAAGACAGCCCCGCTAACACTCTGGTACTTACTTTCTCTTTTTTTCCACAGCAACCCAGCATGCTACACTAAGCCATACCTACTAAGATATTCAAAGTATGCCACTGTATTTTCCTGTTCAACTACAGCATAAGGAGCACAAAAAGGGAATTGACCTAACAATGAAAAGTCTGAGCTAACATGCAACAATGCTCGCCCACATGTTAGCAGCCCGGGTCCATCTGCCACTCCACTGTATGTAGGGTAACTACAGCTGCACAGCCACAGGAGAAGTTATGAACAAGTGCTTCGAAAAGGGTTAACATTCCTCACTTTGTGTTGTAAATGAACAAGTCTAATAAATACTTGAAGCTGTGTAGGTGGTTTCAGAAATTAATCAAACTTGAGCACAAACTTGAACATCCTTGATGTTTTTTTTCCCCTTCATTTTATAACATGTATTTATTTTTATTTTGTAATTGACTTAATGGCTTCTTAAGATTGATTTTACTTTAATTAAAGGTTCAGACATGTTTTGCCTTAATGGTATGTCAAGTAAACTGTAAGAAATATTATGTGAATTTTGCTGTGATTAGTTTTATTCCTCCTTAAAAATTGATAATTTCAAGTTGTGCTAATATAAATTCATAGATCTTCTTAAAGGGCCTGTCTAACAAGTTTCAGACCAAACTGTTAGCCCTGCCCACGTCTTTGTATGATGTTGAACCATGACAGAGAAACAACTCTCTTCAAATCAGTAAAAGTGTATTTATATTATTACATTTATATTTCCTTTATTGCATAGTATGTAGACTAATACATACTCACACACACATACGCACACACCCCTACACGCACACGCGCACACACACACACAAGCACGCACGCACACGCACACACTCACAGACTAAAATGAGTGTGCTTCGGATCCTCTCATGGTCTAATGTCATTACCACTTGATGTCTGCTGCTGATATTTGCAATCTGGAGTCTCACTGTACTGCCCAAGGTGAAGGGGACCCACAGTGCAATGACGCTAGCTTAGTACTTTACCTCAAAAGCCCTGCTAATCCTCCAGGAAAAAAAAAAAAATCATATATGTACTTCCAAACCATCTTAAATTCCACAATCCACCTTAAAGTGTCAGCCCAACTCATCCAGCAGTCGCGTGCCCTCCCCCTGAAGTAAGATAGAGGCAGTTTCCATAGCAACCAGCAGTGAAAGTCTTCTCTCTTTTTTCTTGTCTGAGCTGAAGGCCTGGTCTTGTCTTTATTCCCTGCTGTTGGATTACTCAGTGGAGGTTTGGGAGTCCAGATTTGTCGTGTATTTTAAATGGACAATTTCTGAGTGAATGAGCTGTCTTGTGTCATACTGTGTGGAGATGTAAGAACACTTATCCATGTGTTTCAGAATAATGAAAAATTAGGACTGTTGCCATAGCAATTAACAATTTAAACTAAACTTTATATGTGTGTATGAATGATGAAAAGTCCTTGAAATGTTAAGCATAAGAAGAAGCTGAAACTTAATATGTAATATACATTATTTGAAACTGACTCTATGAATTGGTTTTAGAATGATGAAATGTTAGGTCCATTGCCATAGTGCTAAATAAATTAAAACAATATATGACATCGTTTGAATAGGGAAAAGTCCTCAAAATGTTGCACATAACAGGATTCTGAAACCCATAAATAATGACCATAGTGTGGCAACAATGATCTTGGGCACACCATTAAAATACTGTCTAACACATCTGCCTTGGATATGATGTTCTTTAAGAACTGAAGTGCCCAGAATTAGATTGGAGATTATTTGAAATGCCAAAATGCACTGTTTGAGGAACATTTTACATCCATACATCTTGGGGCACACATGATGATGTACAAACTTTCAGGCCCCTATTTAAGACCACATTTCTTTACTGTGATCTGAACATTCATCACGGCAAATTTTTTATCAAATAAAGACAATTTATGTTTGACCTTATGAACTATTATTATTATACTATATCATTATTACTTTGCCTGAAATGTTTCACAGTATGGCATTAAACTTCTTGTGTCCATGAATTTACACAAATAAATGACATCAACACGCCAAGGTACAAGGTGGATTTGTGGAGTTCCTACAGCAAGAATCCTTGATTTGAAGGTATTTTTTGCAGTTTAAACATCTGGATGCATTAGAGGAACTTTACAGGTAAAACAAACAACACAAAAATGTAATGTGCCCTTCACATGGTATATGTTTTTTTAGGTGGAAAGTTGAACATTGTTGAAAGCTTATAAAGTCTAATTATGCCTTCATTTTAGGTCAAGCATAGCTATATACTATACTGAGATCAGTGGCTATTCATGCATTTATATCAGTATCCTCTGTCACAATGCTTCATTGTAATTCTTCTGCATTAGCTGACTCATCTTCTCCCACAAACAAGATCTGTGCATGCCACCAAGAGGAAGACACCAACACACACACTCAACTCATCTGACTCTCTGAAAAAAAAAAAAAAAAAAAAAAAACATGCACGCCTATTACTGCCGCTCATGCACAATTGAACATTAATATATCAGAGCCAAAAATGAACACAGCCCAACAGGAGGAGAGAGGGGGGATCTGTGGACCATGGAAATGAGCCTGTCTTGTCTAGACACAACACAAGTGATGATAGTGATGTAAGCGAGGGGTAATGTCTTAGCATATAAGTCCATCAGTCTCTGTCATGGTGCACAGGCTCGTTCTCACAGTCTCCAATCTGCATCATCGCTTCATCTGACGCCAGCATGTGTCACACACCTTATGCTCAGGATTCCACTATTTCTGTGTTTACTGTAGGATGTGACAGCTGAGTGCTAAGAAGGAACAGGTCAAAGAAAGTATAAAAGGGACACAAAACTATTGCTGTGATATATATTATATTATTCTAGTTGTTTTTCCACATATGCCATGCATTTTAGTTGTACATGAGTGATTGTAAGTAACAATTCCTTATATATATTCAACTTATACTTGTCGTGGTAACCTACATCTGTAGTCATTCTGTAGTCTGTCCTGCTGTAGACAGAACCAAGGCTGCCAATCTGTGCCACTCATTCACCACACGCTCGCTCACACACCACATTGATACTTAGCAAGGTTGGTTTAGTGTCTTGCTCAAGGACATGTGTCATCATGTCCCATGATTAAAATATTAGTTAAGTTATAACTGAATAGTTTCTATTTGAATAATATTATGTTAAGTGACACTTAATTAATCTTAATTAATTCAACCAAGCTTCAAGCATCCAGTTCTACTATGTATTTTCACCAATATCCTAACAACTGGTAAATGTACTTACTTCTTGCCACAACAATTACAACAGTTGCCTCACTCCTCACAAGTAGGGAGTACAAACTCATTCTAGAGCACTTCATTAAACTGGCAAACTACAGTTACATATTTACCCCTCCTTTTCATGACTTCACAGCTCAATTTGCTCCTTGCCTCCTAAGCTGCACCAGCATCCAGACATGAGCTTAAGTTATGTAACCAAAAACTGACAAAATGAATGCAAGTAAGCTGGGACTGTGGTGGCAAGCCTTTGAAGTCCCTCTGCTAGTCACATCCAGCGAACAGCTATAAAAGAGCTTTACATATGTGCAACACTAGTTCCCCGACCCAATATGGCTGACAATGAGATATGTTCCAAATAAAATATTCAATGATTTTCAGTCACAGTACTCAAACAGTTTTGCTACCATTCACATCATCGGTTTATGTATACTTGTACATGCTTGTTAAGTTTATTTGACGCAGCGGAAATGACATGTTCATTATCATGGTTGCTGTAACATTAGCCTGCAGAATAGTGCACACTAAGCTAGTGTAGAGTATAAATAGTTGGAAGTATTAAAAGAAAGTGTGGATGGAACAAATAAAAATGGAAGCAGGATGAGTACAGACATCACAGGTTACTATTTATATATCTATGTCATTAAGTTGCCTACGGAACGCAGAGGACATGTGGTTGTACATAATTAGCATTTCAAACATGGTAAAACACATTACACAGCAGGTCAACAGACCTAGCTAACAAACAGAAACTGTAAACAAGTAAGTAAGTAGGTGTGTTAGTTTCAGAGTAGTTTCAGTGTAGTTAGCTCCTCCCTTCAGGCAAATATAAGGCAGTGTCCAGCAGCAATCTGACCAGAATTGAAGAAGATCCTTGGATGAGCAGCAAATGTATTAGATCAGCTATTACACAGCCTATTATTGTTTACCCTCAGTGGTACTTTAGGCCTGAGCAACGAGCAATGAGCAAGAATAGTTGCCAGGCTTAAACGACCCTACCCAAACAAGAGCATCTGGGAAACTGCTCAAAATCCGCGGCCTGTATGCCACATCAGATATCACGCATACAGTTATACAGTGATTTTGATCTAACCTATGTTATATTTCTCATAATCCAAGGCTCGCAGACTGTATCTTCTTACTCTTACTTCATGTCATAGCTTACAATCTACTATAAATCCTTTCTCACCTCTCATGTCATTCATATAAATGGACTCTAGCTCCTCGTCTTCTACTCCTCTCCATTTCTAATGCAGCAGCAGATCCCTCAGCCTCCTCAGCCTCTCCTTTCCTTCTGCAGCTCCATTGTCTAGTCCAAACAAATTATGGAGTTGGTACATTGCATTAAGGACATGGAGAAGAGACTAATTGTACCATGTGCCAGGCTGCCGCTGCTTATTTTCTCAACAGAATTAACCATTTTAGAAAGCAATTATGCTTGATTACTGGGTTTTATGTTCATTTAAACTTAACAAAGCTGCTTAAATGTGCTACCGTAAATGCCTTGGTTATATTATTAAAAAGTGAATGGAAAAGCAAAGTAGTTTTAAGTAGCGTTAAAAAAATACATAATCTAAGTGGTGCGATTAGCTACACTAATTATGTCTGAATAAGAAGTCAGACATGGCCTTTCTATGGCAATAACCTCATTTGACCTATTGGGGTTGAAAGGTTTTGGAATAATATTGTGATTTTACTGGACTGTAAGTGATCATACTTTTTGAACAATATGACCCCATGCAAACAGGATAGGAAACGTTTGTTATTTGCTAACTATTGAAATGACAATATCGATTTGAACTGTTACCTTATCCATATTATTGTGTAACCCAATCTGTGCAGTGCTGCACGGGATGAAACATGCACCACAGCCGCCATATTGGCCAACCCACCAACAGTAAAGGATGTGTGTGCGGGAGAGATGGAGAAGAGAGAGCAGCACAGTGATTAGGATTCCTGTCACATTTGGGCCCTTTTACTGAGCAGGATCAAGGAGGGAGTGAGGAGGAGAAGAGAGAAAGAGGAGAGAAGAGGAAGAGAAGGCAGAGGAGGTATTGATTTAAAGTGGTGCCGGAGAATCACATCACTAATTCTGTGAGTGAGGGCTGGGACAACAGCAGGGGACTGTACACATCTGATTGGAACACCTCTGAGCAACAACCTGTACCCAATCTAAGGCAGGCAATGGCAAAACAAAACTACTGTCCACAGGTAGCAAACCAGAGAATATAATATGGGGTAAAGTTGAAAGTTCTGCATCGTATAATTGCTCCTGTTGGATGATTTATTAATATTAAAACTGCATTATGTAATGTTTCTAGTAGAGCATAATGCCAGTTGATTAGACACAGTATACAATGTCAAACTATCTCTTTATCAGTATTACAATTATTGGCAACTATTTTTTCTTTAGTGTTGTGACAAATTATCACGATACAAAATTTTCAAACACGATAATGATAGTAAGGAATAAGCTCAATACTCAGTACTGACTCCAATACCACAATAATAATAAAAAACACTCAAGATCTCTCAAGATTCTAAAAATATTAAGGAAAGGTTTATTTATGTGAGTGTGACTTTTTTAGTATTGATAAATGCTTAAATAACTATCTCGTTTTGATACAGGAATCGATTAGTATGTGATTATCAATACTTTTGACAACCCTATTGGCTACTCCTACTGTGTGGTACCCCGCCTATCACAAAATATTGTATAGACTCACGTAAGACAAATTAGTATAGGATAAAAACTTTGCTGGTAAAATGCAGAAAATATATAAAGTTAAGCGATGAACGCAGAATGAATGAAGGAGCTTTATTTGTTATCTATTTATGTATGTCATTGTGCAACAAAACTGTAGATTGGAAATCATGCTAGAAAACATGTCTATCCTCACAACTGCCCAGGGAACAAATAAACTTAAGGCACTATTATTTATGATACTAAAACAAACCTTGACATTCACCCACACAGCTGAGACACTAATGCTACACTTTACTTTCATTTCACACATATTGTGTTTGCAACGCTGGCCTCGTACAGTCCAAAACAATATCCTAAATAAATAATAAACTGACACTAAATAGGTATTCAATCATGCATTGAATTGCCCTGTTTTAAAATTAATAAGCAGGTCACATTGACACAATGCAATAAAACAAAAGCGTCAAATTCACTGCTTATATTATCAGGAGTAGGTGATATAACAATTAGCTCTGACATTTAATTCTCCCTCTAAACAAACAATAATATGAAAAACTGAAGAAAAAAACAGTAGAACAATGAGTCATGGGTAGACCAATGTAGGAAGGCGGAAATGCAGCCCTCCCACAGGCGCTAAAACCAAACCTGGAACTGACACAAAACAACACGGTTACCCAACCAGCCCCAGCAATGTGCACTCACCGTCCTCCCTGCACTCTTCGGGGGGCTTCGCCTTCTTAGCCAGCCGAGGGTCTAGCCACGACGTTGTTTTGGTGTTGTGACTAAACAGGGAAAAAAAAAACAACAACAATAAGAGATTAACATGGGGAAAAGATAAATTGCCAATGACCTGAGTAGGGCAGAAACAAGAGGATTTCTAAGGTAAACTCACTGATCATTAATCTGCTAATTAGCCAGCAGCGCTAATTGCCCCTGTGATGGGAGAGGGCAAAAGGTGAGTGTGCATCACTACAGGGAGGAAGTGCCAGGCTAGCAAGTGTGATTAGAAGTATAAGTTATATATCAATTATTCAGCACATAAGCCAGTGCTGTAAAGTTTATGAAGCCGGTGAGACCCAAAGCTTTTAAAGAAGTAACAATAAATCAGCGTGTTTATTTGGAGTAGCTGCAGAGTTTAAGGATCTAAAAAGGCAAATATTTAAAGCTCATGTAAATGTGGTGTATACTCATGCAGCTCACTTGGGGAGACTAGGGTGAGAATGTACTGTAAGATAAAGGTGACAAAGTACAAGGTAGGTACAACTTCAATGTAACTGTTATGTTGCTTAAAATTAAGTAAATGGTGGTACCTTTTCTAATTTAATAAATATTCATACCCATAAGCAAACCTATGAGTACTGTCAGTACTGTTTTGAATAAGAATGTCATATACTGTATGTAGTACTGTTGTCAAATGTATTGAAATCAGATAATAAACCATAGTAAAACTAGTCTAGCAAGTATCAATACTAAAAAAGTCACATCAACCAGACAGAAATGAACCTTTCCCGAATAGCTACAGAATGATATTGAGCTGTATCAGCAACTATTGGACCACATAGACAAGTAAATGCCCATGGACCACTATGGAACCTACCTGGACGACTGGATATAAGACTACATGGTAATATAAAAGAAAGTACTATGTGTTTTTTATTATCGTGGTATCAGAATCTGTAGTGAGTATTGAGTCTCTTAGTATCATGACAACTTTACTATGTCATAGAACTAATCACTCCATACCCAGTCTGTTCTTATTTGTCATTAATGAAGTTTTTATGAACTGTGACACTGAGGTTATTGCACAATGGTTACTATGTAAGCATTCAATTTAAATGTGGCATTTTCAATCAGTAGCTTATATTCAACTATAATAAAAGTGTTTACAGTGGTTCCTATAATTTCACATTGCAGCTAATTCAAGTAGACTATGATGGCTAGTCACTGTGGTGCAATACAAATCAAAAGCTTAGCGATACAGTTAATGAATTACTGTTTAAATTGAAATTCAGTTCCTAACACAATTTGCTCCTGCTGTACTGCATCAGCCACTGTATTGTTGGGCTACAGTAGAAGCAGGTCATTCCCAGGGGGATCAAACAGTGTAGTCACGCCCTGACCTGTAATGTACCACTCTGTGAAAACATGATGTCTGTGTGTACAGTACAACCCTGTCTATTACAGCCATCAACCAGGCACTCTGTGGAGGCAATCTCCCACTTGTCTGAAAGGGGCTCCAGTTCTCAAAGCTCTTATGAACAGAGAAAGATAATATATTATGATGTATATGGTCTAATGAAACATTATAAAAAGGCCATATAGCATCCAATATATCAATGAATTTAAATTGAATTTATGGATTTATAGATTATATCTCTGTAATTGTAGCTGTGTCAATGTGAAAAAGTAGCATACATTAAAATGGCAAATTCCACTATAGCATTAAAAGGTGGTGGATGGGGCAGGGCAATTAAAAAATTTTGATTGAGATTATGATTCAGTAATTTCTAATCGTCAATGATCAGCTTGAGTCTTTTTAACCAAACGTTTGAAAAAGAAATTCATGTTCTTTTTCTTCAGAAAATATATTATGCAAACAGTTTTCATTTGTTTTAAGTAAGACAATTTTTTTCTAAATGTCTAGTAGGTCACAGCCCGGTATTTCCGATTATAGACACCTGGCTGCATGGGCAGTGTTTGAATGTTGCTACTTGCTAAATCAATCACACAGCTCCTCATAGCTCCAGATCAATCTTTTCTTTAGTACTCCAGGTACTAAAGTTTATTAGGAGTTCTATTTGAACTGTGGTTTTAGGCAGAGTTTAGATGTTAAGTCTCACCTTTGATTAAATGGTGCAGTAATGAACCAAAACATAAATCAGGTTTGTAGCATTGCTGTTTTGATGGTAATTGTCCTTCCCCAAACAGTATCATCCTATCTGAGGTTTTGGCACCACCACTTACTCTATGAAGTAGACCTCTCCCTTCTCCGTGTAGGCCATCTCCCAGTTGTCCGGCAGTGGCCCCAGCTCCTCCTCATTGGCATCGGGCACTTTGGCGGGGGACTTGGAGGGCGACTTGGGCTCCTCCTCTCCCTCTGCAGCAGGCTCGGAGCAGGCTGGGAGCTGGCTGGACCCCTCCACTGGCACCTCCCCAGAGGCGTCTGTGCTCTTGTCCTCATGCTCACTGGACTCTGCAGAAAATAAAAAAGAAAAAGAAAACATTTGGCAGTGTTATCCTCACAAAATACCACTCATATGTTGACCTGGATACACAGCACACCCCATGCACAATGAGTCAGAGCCCCAACCCCCCGGAGAGGGCCAGATACACTGTTAAAAAAAAGTCTCAAAATTTGTCATTTTAACATTAATAATAAGGCTGAACAATTTGGCAGAAGGAATTTGACTGCACATTTTCTTTTTTGTCAAAAGATTTGCAATATATGTTTAAAAACTCAAATTTTGTTCAGAGATCACATTGTCACAACTCCAGCAGCTTAAACATTTGAGAGAATTGAAATATAAAATTACAAATCAATACAAGAATGACATACATTTCCAAACAGGAAACAACAGGTATAACAAGTTTTCTTTATAAAATGCAGGATGTTTTGCTCTTTGCAAAGAACACTCTTTTACCTAAATAATTGTTGACTATGCAATTTGATAACAGTGCCAAATCAAATAGCAATTTTGATGCAATTGCAATATATTGCACAGCTCTAATAAAGGTTAGTTTGGACTTATTTCGAAACATACCTGATCTCATTAGATCTCAGAAGCTAAGCAAGACTGGGCCTGGTTAATACTTGGATGGGAGACGACTTGAAAGTCCAGGTGCTATAGTGGGGCATTGTTGTGTCCTTAGGTAAGACACTTCACTCACATTGCCTAGTATGAAAGTAGAGTGTGTGTGAGTGATGGTGGTGGTGGTTGGAGGGGCCGATGGCGCAGATTGGCACATCTCTAAAAGCTCTACACTGTACTAGCGAAGCTTCACACTCTGAGATGATAAGCTACTTCTGTAGCCACAGCTGCCCCTGGGATAGACGGCTAATCGAGTGCGCCATTCCACCACCAGAAATCACTGAGGGCTGTGCAATTAATCAAGTTTTAATCAAGGCTGAGATTAGGTAATTTTAAAAGTCAATGATCAACTTGGGTCTTTTTAATGAAGAGGTCTACAGCCAGTCTTGTGTCAGTAAAAGCATGTGTTTTTTTTATTTATTTTTATTTTTTATTTATTAAATTACCCTTATTAAAAGTCTGTCTCATTTATTAGGGAATTTATATCTCAATATTTTTGCCATATTGCCCAGTCCTAACTGAAACACACTACAGTCATACATTATATAGACCAGGTGGGTCTTGCCTAAGGACACATCAGTATGCACTGGTCCCAGCTGGGATTCTAGTACCTACCTAGATATTTTTTAGGCTTAATTACCTTGAAACCTGATAATACAAACTTCACAAAATTTCACCAAGACTCATTTTCTGTTATTAAGTAATTTTAACTTATGCATATTCCTTTTTCTGCAGTGTAAACTAGAAAGAGATTGAGAACAGTGAGCTGGAAGAGGAAAAAAAAACAGCAATGTCAGAAATGGACAAATACAGAGCGACAGGGTTCAAAGGTCATGAGATGAGTCAAAAACCTGGGGAAAAATTGGACGTGGCGACAAGCAGAAATACATGCAACAGAGGACAGCCAAAAACACGTCGCCACATCACACAACATGACTTTGCCTGTGTCATCTTATAGGCCTAACTTTACTGTCTAAACAGCAATTCTAAAAATACTTCCACGCTTTTATAGTATGTGGAAAAATGTGCAGTCAAAAATAACTAACCAGATGCAATCCAGACAGACAAGAGAAAGGGTGAGCATAACAGCACCACAGAGACATGGAGGTCAGGAGAGTGGGAGAGGGGTAATAATAGAATGCAAAAAGACAAAAAGCCAGAGGACGGAGGGACACAGGACACAGACACAGGAACACTAACTAAAACGAGACTCTGGACGGCCATTATGGAGGAGCCAAGGTGCCCCTGTGGGGTAGGGTAAGGGGAGTGTGTGATGGGGGGGTGAAGCTAGTGCACATTCACACTAGTGGAGTGGATTAATGTGACTGATAATGACAAACCAGGGTGTAGTTAGCACAGACATGGCTCTAAATTACCAGGATGTTAAACAGGTAAAGTGGTCCTTCCGTCATGTCTTTGGGAGGGACACATAAATGGAAAAGTATGTGATGTGTGATTCTATGTGTACTATCACTGCAGTGCTAAAATTACATCTATTTGTATCTGTGTGTCAAGATGAAGTATACAGAATACTAGTTTGTAGCCTGAATGTATGCCACTTAAATGATTAGGTGATTCAGTTTAAGACAGGTCTTAATAAAAGTACAAATGGCAAGAAAAAGTAGGCATGCAATGAAAACAAAAAAATAAAGATAAAGATAGTCTATTTACAAGAAATGCCTTAATATAGCATGAGAAGAGACTTTCATAATGAACAAATAGTTTATAAAGAAAGATTCACACTTAGTAACTAATTAAAGAGCCTGTACAACATTTTGTTCCCATGTATTTGAGCAAAATTCATTTTGTCCCTGTACAGATAAATTGTATAAGCAGCTCTCGAGGTCAAAATAAGACAGCTGTGTTCTGTCTGAACATAATTATAAAGCTTTTATTGTCCTATAATCAGGAAGTGTATGTTAGCATGCTAACTGTTGCTAACTTTAACATCATTGTAAACTCTTATCTTGTATAGTTGTGAAAATCATTTAGAAAATTATAACTTGCAATAATTAGGATGATTGGAATACATAACGTAAGTGAGGAATAACTTAAGATCACTACAAACACAGATTTAAAATAAATTAGTTTAAAGATCGTAAAAATCAGATACAGTGCCTTTAAGGGGTCTGGGTATTGATGAAGTAGTTACTAAGTCTGAACAAATCTCTATTTGTTCATGAATTAAATCTTTGTTCATGCTTTGTTCAGATTATTATATGTGTAGTACTTATTAAGAGTCACATAAGTAGATGTGATTCAGTGATATATTACTGAACCATGTATCAATCAGAACAGAACCTATTTTGTTCAGCTAACATAACAATTCCCATCCACAAACCTCTTTTTAACAGTTATCTTTCTTCATTATGATATTTGGTCACTAGCATCTATCCCAATGATGAAGAGTGAATACAGAATCACTGCACTTTTATGTGTCAGATTTATCTCTACTTCCAAGAATAATCAAAACAACCATTACTCCGACTCCTGCGTGTTTCCCAGCTTTACTCAATCACTCTGAGGAGGAGACTGCATTAAATGATCGCACATGGATATCTTTACAGCAACGTTCAGTCTTTACACTTCAAATAATGTAGAAGAATAAACTGTCAAGACAGGGCTGGTGTTGTGTCTCATTTAGTAGATGGAAATGTGGAGTAAAAACATCACAAGAGGATATTGATGCTACGCTCTCATATACCTGCAGTGAGACACTCTGTTTCCATAGAAATACTCCAGTCATTAGTTACAGCTAACATCTGCTCTGGCATGTTCTTAGTGGGAGCTTCTGTGTTTCTCTTGAGCATGAAGTAGTAATTCAACCGATGTGTGTAATTTATCTTGCTCAGAAAGGTCTATACTTTGTGAAGAGTGCTGGTTTCAAAATCTTTTTCATTCCAAAAAAAAAACATGCAATATGCAAGATCTTACAGAATTTTTAAATGATTTTTTTAAGGTACAGTATGTCAAATGTGAGTACTGGTAGAATTGTCTATAATAATAAGGAGACAATGAAAAGTTTGAAATAACGCTAATCAGAAATGGTATTCTTCAAATAGAAAAAAAAAGTTTGGAGTGAAATTTGTGTTCTGTTATGGTTATAGTCCATTCACTTTTGTGTTTGTACTTAAATCTTAACCAAAACCTTTACAAAAACCTTTTAGCACATTTCTATTGGATTATGAAAAAGATGATCTGATTATTGTTAATTTGATAATAATAATAATAATAATAATAATAATAATAATAATAATAATAATAATAATAATAATAATAATAAAATATATAATAAATAAATAAAATAATAATAAAAATGGTCTATTTGTTTTAACAAATATACACTCTTTCTTACCTTGTAAACTTATCAAGCACAAGCACCCTTCTAATTACCACCACCTCCAATTAGATGGGTTATTGTTGAGCCTGATATAGACACATTCATATGCATAAAAACATATTTGTTTGATCAAATCACAAATTCTGCAGTAACTCTCTTGTAATAACAGAATACTTAAAATAAGTCTAGTTCTAATAATATCCTGACGGGTCTATATTTATCTACTTGTCTGTTCAAATTTTTCTGTCTGTTTTGGTGTGTTAAACTTAAGAGTGGGTGATACTAACATCAGAAGTTTGTGGAAATTCTCTCAATAACAATATTTATCAGAAACAAGCTAAAGGTACCAGAAGATGTTTGGTTGTGGTTCAACTAGGGCTGCAAATAATTATTTTAGTAGTCGCCACTCATCAGTAATGATTTTTGATGAGTCGATAAAAATTGTAGACATCAACGTTCAGCGTTGTTTTGAAAGGTTACATGGTTATTATTTCTATTTTTGTTCATGTTGCAAAATGTTTTGTTAAAATAGACATTTTAATTAATATTTCCTTTCATAATAATTATTACTTATCTTGTAGACAATATGCCACCTTCCTCTATACCCATTTTGTGTGTACTTTTTGACCTATCCCTATGGCTTACCTGGAGTGATGGCCACCCCGTTGCCATTGACGACCGGACTCTCCTCCTCTTCCTCCTCGGGCGGCTCTAGGCTGGCGCGCTGCTCCATGTTGCTGACGGACTGGTTCCTCTTCCTCTTGCCCTGGGCACTGGGCCGGGCTCCGGGTAACAGGGCCTCACTCACATTCAGGGGAGGGGCCGCGGGGGAAGGCTCTGCTGGAGGTTTGGGCGTCCCGTAGAAGTTATCTGAAGGGACGAGACAGAGGGAGCAGAGTATATAAAGGTTAGAGCTGTGTGTTTTAGTGGGAGGGGGTACAGGGATGTGAGGTGCCTGGATATGGCCAAAAATGTTATCACTATACAAAATAGAACATTTTCAATAATGATATAATTGACAATATGCCTGTGAAATGGTGGCCTTTATAATATTTGTACTGACTTAAAAATACACAAAAGTTATGCTGTACAAGATAGAAGTAGCAATTGTAAGAATATTCAACTTTAAAGGTACACTACGTAACCTTTTGCTAAAGCTACTAAGAATAAAAGCAAGGTTTTTACTTTGAAACAGTAAGTCTGATAATGAAACTCATGGTCTGCTCTTCTCCTTTGTTTATGTCTAAATGCACAAACATGCTATTCTGCTGACACATAAGACATCTACTGAGGCTATAATGTAAACAGAAAGCTGTCATATTATAACTTCTTCTTCTTATTTTTTACTACATCTCATCATCACTCACTAATTCTATGACGGTATAAGCAGGGACGAAGAGTGTCTCACAAAATCACCAAACATTGCAGAACGAACACTGGCAGAATAAACATGTCTCTGAGGGACAAGAGTCTGTCCTTTTTAAAACAAATGACTGTTTTGGAAGTAGAAGAAAACTTTGCTGCGTAATGATGCAGCAGGCACACTTTGAGATACACAGTAGAGGCATCAGGTATGTTTCAGAGAGTCTCCAAATGTTTGTTTAAGTGGCACATGCACAGGTAATTGGCCATTATGTTCAATCATGAAGTTAAGCTGCTCGGGAAGATTAATTTGATTAAGTGTACATGATAACAAGTGCCTACACATTTGGGCCATGTACCATTTCTATTACAGAAGGCTTTATTAATTTTTCTATGCTGTGTTGAACATCACATATACACCCACAAACATAAGTGTTTCTTGACATTACAAACAAACATGAGCACTTATCTTCAGTGTGCCCACATAATGTGCCACCATTGTGTCACCGTAGTGTCCCACTATATACTTTAGTGTATTACAATCTCCTTATAGCACTTTTAATGAGTACACATCATGAAGAGTCTACTGTAGTAGTACAAGGTGGTAGCACGGTGGCTAAGTGGCTAGCACTCATTCTTTAAAGCAAGATACTTTCAGGTTAGACTCCTGGACCAGCCACGGCCTACCTGTGCAGAGCCTGCATGTTTCTCCCTATGTCTAAATGCATTTTCTTTGGGCACTATGGTTTCTCCCATCCGTCCAAAACATACACAATTTAGGTAAAATCCTCCAGCTTAGTCTTGGCCAAGCCAAGCACAAGATCTGAAGACAGGTCTCTAAGCACAGTACTGCTGCTGCTCAATGCTCCTGACAGGGTGCCCCAGAGGCAGAATGAATTTCCCTCATGAGGAATAATGATAGTATGTATTACCTTATCACGTGTCTACCCCAAGGCAGCTGTGGCAACAAAAATATCGAACCACTACCAAGTGAGGGGAGTGAATGAATAATCCAATGCAATGTGCTTTTAGTATCTACTATCTAGTATGAAAAAAACTTTACATTAACAACACTCTCAATACAGCCTATACCTCACCTCATAGTTCAGGAATAGGCATATTACACCATATAGTTTATTGTACAAACAGGTATTTGGTGACAAAAGAGATTTTTACATTTTACTGGGCATTTTGTTGTAGGAGAAAAGCATAAGAAAGCAACTGTCAGGGACAGACATTGTTGGATAAGAGCCTACGGCGCCATAGCAAATCAACACTTTATAGTGAATGCAAATGAGATTCTGAAATGAACAAGTGTCATGCAGTGAAGGAGTATGGACAATAAACACACACACACTTCTTACTCAATTCTCACTAAACAGGATTGGCTAAATGTGTGAATGAATCAGAAATACTATGGTTTGATTAGGAAACAACATTATGATATGGCTAAAAGCTGTCTATTTTGCATAACATGTCTCTTCTGAATAATTAGTATTATTCCACCAGCCGCACTCCATGGCTCTCTGGTGTGAGCTATAATCTGCTCCTTCACTGAGCTTGTATATATCTGGAGGAACACCACCTCAAGTCATGCCTGCCTCATGTGTGCCTCTGCTGGCTGCTGTCAGCCATGTGCAGATGGGAGCGTGTGCTTCATTTGCCCATAGCCTTTTTTTTTTTAGCTGTGTCCTCAAAGACTGCGCGTTTGCATGTTCTGCTTATATCTTTCCACTTGCTTACAGTGGATGTTTCCCTCAGCACAGCGCTCTTATGCCCACTGGGGGAAGCTGTCTCGTTCTGGGTGGCTGAGCCTAAGGTACTGCAACTCCATTTGCACTACACATTCATGCAAAAAATCCCTAGAATAACTAATAAATAGATGACAAAATGGGAAAATGGTGACTAATTGCTAAAATATATTCAAAATTTGTATTTGCTGTAAAGTCTGTTTGTAGTAGATACTATCTTTTAATGATCCAGCACAATCCAGCAGTTTCAGTATCGACATGGATATCAATACTTTGACTTTAAGTAACTTGATATTAATCAATACCAATATCGAGATTTTGTATGGAAAACATAATTACATGTTGTACAGTTTTCAATTCAGACAGTTTTTTGTGTTTCCTGAAAAATGTGAAAAAATGACATACGCTATTATTTCAGGAGGGGTAGATATAAAACAACTCTATATGGAATATCTTTGGAACATAGATTTCCTCCCTCTTATTGTACAGCCTTGTAAAAGACTATTCTGAAATACAATCATGTCAGTTTATAATCCCTTTGCTACTACCGTATGCTGTTATGTGTAAATAAAAGGTAGATGTTGAACGCAGAAGTGAACTCAGATGCCTCCAGGCCAAACCACAAGTGTTCAGCATTACTGTAACATTCTATTTGAACAGCCGTGTGAAGCATGAGGGAGGGCTCGGGCGGTAGGTCTCCCAGCATGCAATATAGCAAATGCATCTCCTCAGGTCATTCTTAAACTTTCACTGAAAGATGCACGTTGCGGTTTAACCATCAGAGTCAAGATCACACCATCTGGGACCAATAGAAGGCTACCTGCTATAAGTAGAAATGTAGACCATGAGAGATACAATGTTTCAGTCTGAATGCAGCTGCATTGTGGAATATATGAATGGTACACCTACAGCTTTTCGGTCTTCCTGCAGGTCAAATGCTACTGTTACTGTTTCTGGAATTATATCTGAAGATACCAGTGACCAAAATAACCTAATCAGTAAATCATTATGTTATGGATAAGGGGTAAGTCAATAGCTATGAGATTTTTAATTAATTAAAATTAATTAATTAACATGGGACACAAGAAATATCAAATTAGGCCTAAATCAAAGTGAAAGCGAATATGAATACAAAATGATATTGTGGGGACAAATGTCCCTCTTTAGTTCCTTCTCTGATTTTGATCTGACAATGTCTCTGATTGGATGGAAAAAGATTGTTTCTGGCAGTTGCTTCATTGGTTCTCAGCCAACAAAATGCCTTTTAAATGTAGGCAATATCAGTCAATCTCATTTGACACAAATAGCTACTTTTACAATATACCATATGGAATGAATCCTGATCTAGAAAAGATAAAAGTCAAGTACAGTTCCTACAGTACACAAATAATAACAACTCGCGATATGGGTGATCCTGTAGATTAGTGTATTGTAGCTATAAATAAAAGAAAAAAATTATGTACTAACCTTTGCAAAGTAATTGTTCCAGTATTTGAATGAAGACCTTGGGTCTTAAAGTATCCTAACTAGATAATTTCATTTAAACCTAGAAGCCAATAAAATGACGTACAAGGCACTGTCCTATGCTATAAAGATAGAAATATATATTGACATTGATGACTGATTTGTAAAGATTCATTATAAAAATCAAAATGATAAGCATCTTGCCAACATTTTCCATTTGTAATCTGAAGTAATAAGGCTATAGTCGACTAAGTAAAATATTGGCCAAGATACGCTCTGTGCATCAATTATCTAACTAAAGTGGCCTTGTCACAAGCTTTTAAAACTGCTTAGTATCTCTATGATCTGACCATGCATTTGACCCGAACAGAACTCACAAGATGCATCTACAGAAGTATTAGTTAAAAGGTTGATTAAATGCACTATTTACACCCACAGCTCTAGCTAAGTTACCCCATGTCTTCTCCTTTCTGCTGTAGTCCATATAAATCCTTATATTCCCCCCAAAATAATGTGGTTGACTAATAAAAATGCTGGTCAACCAAGACTACATTGACTAAATAATTAAAGGCCTATAGCCCTAGTAAGTAAGTCACCCCTCGAGGCCTACTGAAATCACGAATTGATCAAACTAAGACTAAATAAAGCAGATTGTGTTTAAAAATACCCAAACTAGCTTGTGTGAAATTCGTGCTCTCGTTCTGTTTTCCCCGAGCACCTGTCTGGTAGATGCACAACACTATTCTCATGTCTCTCACCTTCATACGTTCCACTCTCTAGCAGGGCCCCACTTTGCTCCAGTTCCATAAACCGCTCGACGCTCACAAAGTTGTAGTCCACCCCCGGCACTTCCCCTTCTTTAGGCTGCCGTGTTGTACCTGCAGAAAGAAGAGGAAAGAAGAGGAGAGGTCAAGTCAGAGCTAAATAGGGCACTTGAGAAAGAAAGAGGAGGAAGTTGATTTAAAGGGTAGCGGATCTGGAGATACAAAGTGTTTTTCAGGAGAAGAAGTGGGAGGAGGACAGAAATGCTGGAGGAGAGAGGAGGCCCGGAGACTAGTCATCGCCTGTGACAGCCAAGTTTATTCAAAAATTAGAAGTGAATTGCAGAAGGAAATATAAGCTAATTTAGGTTGTGCTACACGTGTTCTATGAGTTTGAAATGTAAGACCAGGAAGATTGTATTTTCAAACTCGTTCCTATTAGGGTTTAATCAGTTTGATAATGTTGATTATTCAGGTAACAATATAATCCCATGAGCTAAAAGAATATAAATGTGAGGCCCTGTGTGAATGGCTAGCACTTACGCCTCACAGCAAGAAGGTTTGATTCCCCGTAGTCTTTCTGTGTGGAGTTTGCAAGTTTCTCTCTCTGTCTAGGTGGGTTTCCTTCAGTTTTTGGTCATCAACCCAAATAATGCACAATAGTTAAAAATCATCCAGCTAAGTTAGTTTTGACCAAGAGTAGCTCAAGATCTAGAGAAGGGTCCCCAAGCGTTGTGCTGTGTGTCCACTTCTCCTGACAGGATGCCTCAGCGGCATTGAAAAAATGGGTCAAAGTAAATGCAGAGAAGAAATTTCACCAATGGGACTATAAAGGGTAAGCTTAGAATGAAAGTGAATTAAGAATTTTATTGTTGTTTGGTCAAGGTGTCAATAATTGTGAATATTTGTGATGTTGCATGGCACAATAACTGTAAAAAGAAATGTTTGATACTGTCAAACCTCCAGTCACTTGTTTTCTATGTTTTTCTTACCCCTCACTGTCAATACATCTGTGAGTCACAACCCCTCTTTGTTCCATCTCCACTGCAGCAGCGGAACCACCAGCCACCTCAACTCCTATGCCTTAACAATACTTTGACAAGAATGTGGGAACAATGTCAAAACAATAAAACAATACATCTAAGCATCCACGTGTGTTCAATACAGACTTCCTGAGGTGTAATCAAAATCACAGAGAGAGGCATGTCATTCAAATTTTACTTTTTTTCCATAGAGGCCAACAAACAAAATTGCACTTTTAAATAATTGAATACTTCGGTGAATATCTATCCTTGACTTTACAGAAATCTGTTTATTCCCTATCATTTGTTAATAGCACATAAAGAAGTATTACAATTTGTGCACCTATATAATAATGATGAGACCAACAAAAGGGTGTGAAATGTGGAAAATAGCTGTCACAGAGCCTACAATCCAATGCAGAGCTTAGTGCGTTAATGAGAGAATCGATATGCCCCTTTTCCCTACCATAATTCAGAACTCCTTACACTGCAAACAATGGAGGACCGATTGGATTATTGTTGAAACAGCAGGAATGCACCAGGCACATATCACCACGCAGCAATTACAGCCTTTCTTTGAGATCTCCATCAGAGGGGCAGTGCCAAGGGGGAGGATAGGGGGAAGACGGGGGGAGAGGTGGGAGGACGTAGGTGTAGGAAGTTTAATGAGGTGCCATAGTTGTGTCTGCGTTGGCAGGTAGACCATAAACTTTAGCACAGGGAATAGTAAAGTAGTGTACTGCAAACTATAGTGATCTCCCTGATGAAGTTAAGTCTGGTAAGTTAAGTCTGGTTATTTTCAGTGTTCAGATTTTTATGTTAACATCATATTAGCATTTAGTCAACCTCTATTTTAAAGTTTTGCCATTGCCAGTAGAAGACACCTAAACCAAGCTTTAAAAGCAAATTGAAAGTGTGACACAAGAGCACCATACCATATAATTTTTTTGTTACGTGAATTAATTTGTTAGGAAAGTCTTCAGTCGACTGATCATAATAATTTTAATAAGTTTGTTTTACGATGAAGAACTGTCTTGAAAAAAGAATAGTTAACTGCATCCATGCTATCCATTCAAATTGCGATTTCTATTTGATTACAATTCATCTTATAGTCCTACTTGACATAATAAAATGCACATTTATAAAGCACTTTTGTACTTCCAATGGGCACTAAACTGCTTTACATCACCCACTCACACACATATTCACACACCAGGGTCTTCCCAACAACATATTCGCTGATGGGAGCTGGGATCAGACCTGCATCCTATGGGTCAAAGGACATCTCCTCAAACTGAGTCATTATTAGGCCTGTCACAATAACAAATTTTGAAGCATGATATATTGGTAGAGATATACTGTGATAAATGATTATATTGAAACAACATTACGCCACTGACACAATAACAATAATGCAAGATCATCTCAGTAAACAATTTTTAAATAGACATCATTAAAAGGCATGAGATGCAACAGATAAATAGCTGAATGAAGCAATAATTTGCCATAGAAGCGACTCACTCAACTGTCTACAGCACAAATCTGATTTATTACAACAAAAATTCTCTCTCCAATTTTGCAAAGTAAAAGAACCCTGGTTAAATACTGAGCCCCAAAATATATTGTTCCAGCTTTTATATATTGAACGATAAATCGATATAGTATTTATCAAGACAGGCCTAGTCATTGTTCCGAAATTAATTGTTGTTTTTCTTAATAGAATCTGCAATGTCATATATCAAAATGTCCACAGGCTATCATGAATTAGTAATACAAAGACAAGAAAACTACTACCTGAAAGGGCTATTTTACTACCTCGATAGCATTCTCTGAGGCTATTATCGGATCTAAAAACAGCCTTTGTGCCTTCAATGTCGGGCAACAGCGCTGTGACCGTAATTGTGGAGTGCGTTGTGGGGAAATTAGACCAGCGGGGGGCAGATGTGCAACTGACAAACCTGATGACATTCTCAGACTCTGGAGCTCCAATTCTCTTAAGAGATCTAATCACTGCATCTCCACTGATCCTGTGTCACTAGACTGTTTGTGCACTCTACTGATGAACCTGGAGTCTGTAGCAGCAGGGCAGAGGTGGTGAGTAATAGATGATTAAGCACAACCTCATAATAACACAAAGGCAGGAGGAGGTCTTCAGGGTGTATAGTAATGTACTGTCAAATAGGTTACATTCACATCACAGCCTTCGAGAATACCTATAGTTTAAAATTGAGCTTGAGGGCAGTTTAGGTTTGTCTGGTGGAAGTTGCTGTTTAACTGTCTGATTTAAAGGGGTACTATGTAACTTTTTGGTTGGGGTTTGTTGGTTTTGTTTCTATGGATTGCTCTACCTGGAATGTTCCACAGTGTGACATTAAACAGCTCTATTTTACATTTAATAAATTACAGGTTTTATAGCCCAAAAATACAAAAAAATAATAAAAAATAAACAGCATTCTGACTGGGAGTGGGGTTGCCTCTCCACAGATCTAACCTATAATTTGGTCTGGTTTTTCAATACCATACTGTGAAACATTCCAGTCAAAGCAATAACATCTCCATGGAGAAAAGCATTTGATGTCGGTCCCATATTTTTTTCAAAACACAAAATCTCCCATAGAGGTAGAGAACATGTAAAAAAAACACATGTACTGAATCAAACCTCAGACCTTTTAAAAATGAGACTTAGGGGATGTTATTTTTCCACCCATAATTTCATTAGCTACAGAACATTTTTCACTGCATTCTTTTGTGTATAATGGTGGTATAAAATGATAATGTAATAAGCTGAAAAAATAATGATGAAATATTACATGGAATAATTTCTGGCTTTTAGTTCTATTAATTAATTTGTACGATTTTTACACCAGAGGCCCTTCCAGTCTTAATTCATACTGAGAATAACAATGTGAGTCAAATGTCAAGTGGTTGAAAAGGTTTTAAAGCTACTCAACCACCCTTTTTTTATTTGACTTTTACATTATAAATACAGGGAAAGTCATGGTAAGTCAAGTTCAGGGTAAAACCCCTTCTCTTAAGGGCAGTATAAATTCTAGCTCCTCAGACCAGCAACTTTAGATTGATAATGGTTTCCAAAAGGCAGCTGAAATGTCTCGATTTCAAAAACATTGTTCAGGTGACTATCATTGAAGCCTTAACCTTCATATAAGGCATTGGACTACTCTTCAGCGAATGAGAGATTACAGTGACAATGTGGGTGAAGTGTCTTGCTAAGTGGCACAACAGTATGGAATAACTCGAGTCTAACTGAATTTAACACATTTGATAAATAGCAGACTGTTATATTAACTCTGACAAGCTAACATCACTTGCAAGTAATTCCATCACGCTAAACCCTTATCTGTATGTTTTATACTAGTGAGTTGATTTTGGAATGGAGCCCCCTGTGGAGCCCATAATCACATGTGCAGCAGATCAGAGCCCTGTGGGACCCCCTCCAGAGCTCCACAGGTGTGAGATTATCTCTATCGCTAATCTGCAAGCCACAGACTATAGACATATCCATCCACTATTCTGCTTTGGACTTCACTTAACATTACTTTAATGTAATGATTTTTCTCTTATTTTTATTAATTGTACGTTGTGGAGAAGTGAGTTATATCAAGTTGAAATTCTGATTTTGAGAAACAAGAAATGTTAAGAAAAAACAAGAACATAAGGACAGAAATGTAATTTTCTTATCGCAAAAATAGTATCTGATTGAGACTTAAAAAGGTAATGGTCTTCTTAATGATCTTCTTAACCCAGGAATGTGCGTCAGATTTACTGCATCCTACACTAAATGCCAGTGTCACTCAAGTAAAGATTTGTCTTCCAAGAACAGATCTACAACAAGTTTAAAACAGTTCTATTCCTGTATTAAATTAGGGCAATGATTATAACTAACTACTAACATTGCTACAGTAGTAGCTATGTTGCTACATTTAGGAACAATGTTGCTACAGTAGTAGCAATGGGATGAACATATGTCTAAAACTGACAAAAAAGTACAGACTAAACCAGATTTTTTCATGTCAAACCATGGACGATTGGGGACCTTGAGTCAATTTTAAAAGAAATACATGTGCAGGTTGTTTT